CACTCCCTCACTGGATGACACAACAAAACAAACTCACCCCAGAGCAAGGCAGCTGGTGAGGGCAGAGACAGTCACAGAGAGGGGGGGAAAGAGATGGTAGAGATGCCAGCTCAGCGGAAACAGAGACAAAGAAGCCAGGAGAGATGGGGAGAAGCAGAGACATGGTGGAGTGAGAAATGGTTGTCAGCAAATGAATGAGGCATGAGATGGGAGCTGGATGGGGGAAGCCTAGTAGCAAGCTTTCAGGCTTTGGATAAACCTCACATGAACAAGCAGGGCTCTGGGCAGCCTGAGAGAGAGAGTGTGTGTGTGTGTGTGTGTGCGCGTGCGCGCGCTCACACACACTTGAGCAAATGTGCACCCAAGTGTGTGTTGCCGTCTGTTCTGAAAGATGTCTGTGGGACACCCAGGGCTGGAGAGAAATGGACCAGAAGGGGAATGGGCAGGCGGTGACAGAGGAGGAGCTGGGGTGTGTAAGGAAGAGGGTCAGAATGAGGTTGGAAGGGGAGGGACTTAGGGAGACTAGCTAGAGATGACAGTGGGAAAGGGCAAAGGGAGAGATGTGGATCAGGGTGACATAGAACCTGCAGAGCCTGGCAGGGGGCAGGGATCTGGGTCTAGGATGTTTGGGGTTGGGTCACAGGGTCATGGAGCCTGCCTCACAGTTGCCTATCCTGCTGATTTCGCTGGAAAACATCCCGAAGAGGCTTCAGGGCTTCTGGGGAGAAAAGGTAGATGCCACAGTTGATGATGTCACTGATAAATGTGCTGGGTTTCTCCACATAGTGCAGGACCTAAGGAAGTGACGGCAGAATGTATAGTGGAGGGCAGACCACTGCCACCAACACAATCGCATACTCTCATTTCCAGGCCCATCTATTGACAGGGACAACTTCCCAAAGGGTAGCTCACACCTTGCCCCTACCTGGCTTTATGCTCCCAGAGGGGCGACCTGCTCTAACTAACTCCCAGTATTTCAGGAGCACAACTCCAGGCCACTAGAATGTCCTTCCCCACCTCTTCCTCTGAGAAACACACCTTTTGCAACCCAGTTGACATCCTTACTCCCCAGTCCTCTCCTGCCAGCTCCACTTGGCTATTCAGGCCTGTCACCCCTGACCTCTGGCCATACCTCACCTAGGCCACTGTGCCATTTCCAAGGATTGGCTTCTGACTCTTTTTCCTGCTAGACCTGGTTTCCGGAGAGGTGTTCTGTGATTCTGTGTCTCTCATGTCTAGCTGGTGCCTGCCTCAAAACTGCATATGTACATATGCACACATATGTACATTACATATATGTTTTATATACATTAAACTATGAACAAAATAAAATTGTTTTTGTGTCAAAGTCAGTGAGTTTCAGGGGCAGGGATTCTCACAAACAGGGACAATGCCCCTCTTGCCTTAGGGACTATGTTCCCATCTCAATAATTATGGGGCACCATGTACTTCCTGCCTGTCTTTGCACAAACTGTTCTCTCTGCCTGCAAAACCCTCAGTCTGCTTCATCTCCACCCCGCTCCTGAAGGAAACCCTGCCGCCCCCCCCCCCACACACACACCTTAGGCTATTGCTGGGCCCCTCTTTTGTGTTCCCATGCATGCATTTATTAAAACAGCACACCTACAGAAATGAACTGGCACCCCTCCCTGTCAGTCTCTCTTAAAGGGTTACAAGATAATTAATCAGGGAGGGGTAGGAGCAATGGCACACAAACTGTCCTATCTGTTCGACATAATGGGCCCCACCTTAAGGGGTTCTCAGTATTCTCTAAAGGTGTAGGGTATGGGGCTGATCTTACAGAGCGGTACCCAGCCCCCATTCTGCTCTCACCTCATGTGTCTGTGGATTCTCAACGATGCAGCCGTAGTTGAGGGATTGTGTCCTGTTAGCCTGAGACAAACATATCCAAGACAGTGACCTGCCTTCTCCAGGGCAGCCAAGGCTGTTTTCTCTTCCTTCCTTTCCTTCCCCTCTAGCACCTGGCACGAAGCTCTGACACTGACAGGCCTTCAGCAGAGTCAAGAGCTGACAGCTGCCCTCCCTCTCCCTACTTCCCAGCAACCAAAGGGCTCAGGGTTGCCAATGACACCTCCATTCCCGTCGGGGAAGCACATCTCCCTCCCAACACCTGCTCCTACTCCAAGACCTAGAGTGGCCCCAGCCTCTCTACAGCCTTCAGCCCTCACAGCCCTCTTACTGTGGTGCCGAGGAGTAAGAAAGGGTGACGCTGGCGTCTGTGAGCATCCAACATAGCATTCAAGGGGAAGTCAGAGCAGACGTCAGCATTGAGCACGAAGAATGCCTCAGGCGCCCCAGCCAGGATCTGGTCCCGAAAATGGTAGAGACCACCCCCTGTGCCAAGGGGAGCAAACTCCTGCAGGTACCTGTCCCCAGAAACCCCAGCCAGCTCAGTGAGACACCATGAGTCAGGGCACACGTCACACCCTCCCCCAATACCCTTGTATACCCTCCCCCAAAACCCCTCTCTGCCCTTGTCAGTACTTCTGGTCAAGGCCTACAGAGAAATCTCATATTAAGCAATTCTGATGCCCAAAATATGAATCCTTTGGGTATGGAGAATACTGACTCAACCCATTCCCAAGAACTTTGAGACTCAGATATGTATGCATGTTTACACATGTACGTATGTATATACCTAAGCAATTCTGATGCCCAAAATATGAATCCTTTGGGTATGGAGAATACTGACTCAACCCATTCCCAAGAACTTTGAGACTCAGATATGTATGTATGTTTACAAATGTACGTATGAATATACCAATATAAAAAATACACACACACACACACACACACACACACACACACACACACGTTCAAACACCTGACTGGAAGGTTAAACTCCTGCTGGGCAGCTTCTAGGAACTGGGTGAGGGCCTCATCAGGCTGGTAGAAGCCAATGAGCAGAACCTCCTGCATCCCAGGGACCTAGGACAAGAGAAGAGGTTGGGAGAGAAAATTTCGATGGGAACTGGGAAGATCTTGGTACTGGTCCACAAGTCCAGAGGCTACAAGTTCAGTGAAGCTGCATATCCTGGGCAATCAACCCTTGTGGCCTGCCTCTCCTTTGGACAATGCAGAAGTGAGAAGAACTCTCTGCGTCAGGTCTTTCCATTTTTTTAATATTCTCCCATGCACCTGAACTGGAAGCCACTCTAAGAATGACTTTATCTACCAAGTGACATTAACTTATCATCCAGTCATCCTTTTCCCTTTCCTTCTCCAGGCCTGCCTCTTTCTCACTCAGTACTGGGGACTGAACCCAAGACCTTACAGATACTAGACAAGTGCTCCATCTCTGAGCTATGTCTGTAGCTCATGTATGTGGGTGCATGCATACGTGGGTACACACGCCTGGAGGTAAAAGGTCAAGGTCAATCTTGGGTCTTTCTTCAGGAGCAGTCTACTTTATTGTTGTTTTGTGTGTGTGTGTGTGTGTGTGTGTGTGTGTGTGTGTGTGTGTGTTTGGGGGGGTCTCTCATTGGAGTCTGGGGCCTAATGATTAGGATTGACTGGCTGGCCAGTAAGCCCCAGGCACCTTCCTCTCTCTACCTCCTCAGTGTGGGACTGCAAGTGTCCATCACCATGACTGCTTCTTTATAAGGGTGTTTCTGTGAGCCAGCACTGTAGCAACTGAACAATCTCCCATCATATATTACTCTGAGTTTGAAACCAGCACAAGATGAGGGTATACCGAGGGCACTGAATGAGGTACTTTATAGCTTTGCCACTCTACAGAGGAGGTCTAATCTCTCCTTTAGAGATAAGAAAACCAGAGCTCAAAGAAGGTATAAATTTTGCTTGCTCCAGGTCACAGCAGGGAGACTGGACTCATACTCAAACCTCACCTATCCCAATAACAGAGCGATGAAGAGAATGAGTGAGCTACAGCATGAACTCCATGCTTTATTATCAATAAGGGCCCCCATGCCATGGCTCTAAATGATCTTTTAAGATCCCTGCCTGAAGTCACATTCCACACCGTAAAACTACGTGTGAAATCTAAGCAGCAGGAGGCAAGGAAGTCAACAGGGCTAGCTTCCCTGCACCACCTGAAGAAGTCCATTCACACACATACCTGTGAATGACAGCCCTTGGAGTTATACCTGGTGGGGTAAGATCATGGCTGGGAAAGGGAAGACACACAGCACGAAAGAGACGGAAGTGTAGCACGACAGGAGAACCTATAGGGTTACCTGGGCACAGGCCTCTATATGGTGCTGGATCATAGGGACGCCTGCCACAGGAAACAGTGGTTTGGGCACCTCAAAAGACAAAGGCCTGAAGCGAGTCCCTGAGAGAGGAGAGGAGAACACTTTAGCCTCCTACTTCCTTCTGTCCCAACCCCACCTACCGCCCCAGCCTCCTCCCCCTCCCCCACTCCTCACCCTTTTGAGGGCCTCCGATGAGAATCACAGCCTTAAGCATGATGGAGACTGCTACCTAAACCTCAAACCCCAATAGAAGAAAATTACACTCAGACCACACACCCCAAACTGCAACATATAGTCCAATCCTGGGATGTAAACTCAAAAGTATAGTACACTCCCTTCCACCACCACAAATTTCATCCCAATCCAGAACTCAATTGCCTACAAAAACCTGCATCCCACCCTTTTATCTCTAAAGACTTCCCTTTGGCCATGATCAAATTCTCTAAACTCGGGAACCCAATGTTCCCCAAACCTCAAAACTCTGAAGCCTTGATCCCAATGACTGGCAAACGCCTGCATCCCAGCGGTGAATATGTAACCGCAAACCTCGCGTGAGCCCTGGGCATTTAATTTCAATCCTAAAGATGAGTCCCAAGTACTGAACAAACACCAATCTACTTTGATGGGCACCAATCCTAACACCTCTAGGTGCTGAATATGAATCCTACAACTACTTGCATGTGCTAAAGAGCGAAACAAAGGACAGGTTCCCTTGACATGCCAAACACCGAGCTTACAAGCTCCAACAATGCCGGTACTGACTGACGACTAGTGCCAAATCTGGATTCCGAGGACTTGGCTGCTGACCCTCTAGACCCCACAACTGAGTCTGTCCAATAGACGTTAGTTTCCCGGAGCCAAGGGTTATGGAATCAACACAATCCTGGACATGAGGAGAGCAGGACAGGACCTCCGAGTCCGCCCTACGTTTAGGGTCTGTTCCCTACCCCTACCCTGCCCGCCACCCCTCCACCACGTAGGTCCTTTTACCACTAGCTCCCTTTACGCCAGCTCTGCCGCCTGCTTCTGCTGGCTCCTTCCGCGTACGTGTCTCCTTACAACTCGCGAGAGCTCTTTCATAGGGGATGCCGGGAATTGTAGTTTTGAGAAAGTCCTCTCCAACTTTATTAGACAGTCGGGAGGCGTGCTGGAAACTCGGAGTTTGGTCCAAGGGATCGAGGGGCGGGCGTAAATGAGAAGGGAGAGAGGTGAAGGTGGAGGCAGAGAAGTTAGGCAGGGAAGCTAATATTGAGACCTACGCTTTCCCAGTACGGGCTCAGGGACAGCGGAGAACTAGGTCACAGGAGGCTCGACTAGAGGAGAAAGGGGTGTGGTCAGCTTTGGAAGGGGCAAGGGCTAGGGTGCCCACAGCCGGGAGGCGACGCCCCTAGGCTGAGCAAAAGAATAGAAGGCGGAGTCATAGGTCCCGTCTTTGGGACGTTTGACACTGACACAAATCCTGTTCCGGATTACTGTCTGTGAAATGAAGCACCGGACTAGGCTCGCACTCCGGATTTCCTAGTGACTCCACCTTGGCTTGTGGGTCTTGGAATAAGTATAGGGCCGGGGAGGGGGGGGAGTAAATGGCGACGCCAAAAAACAACAACAAAAAGCAAACAAACAAAAAAACAGATTAAGACTCACAGGGTCAGGAAAAAAAAAAAAGCAGTTTTATTAAGCAAGACAGAGGATGATTTGAGTCCCACTGAGCCCTGGGCTCGCAGCCAGGGCGAAAGGTCTGACGGTCCCTTTCAAGCCACGTAAACCCGTATACCCCAGCGAAGCGCTGGGTCCATGCTCAGGCTGTTCGATAACACCTCACACTTGCCGCTGTCGTGGGGTGTGGCCTACGTGGTGGTGTTGGTGCCAATTTCAACACCCTGGTGAAGGTGTGGAGAGATGGAGAGTGGAGTTGTGGGTCAATTTACCCTTATAGTGAACCTAGTTAATTAGAATGCTCTGTTCTTTGCAGTCCAGCGACCCTCATCCTTCTTCAAGGTGCCTGGGAGCATTACCAGTCCCAGGCCCTGCTACAGATCCCAGTCCTTCCCTGTCGTAGTCTTTTATGTCCTCTCAATCCTTCATCCAGCGAACATCCACAGGAGGCTAGCCCAGCATCTGGGCGGTCAGTGTCACTATGGTGTCTTTGTTAGTGTTATCAGGTCCCTTTTGAATCGTATTGGGGACTAGATGAAGGACAGGGAAACCCGGCCAGGAAAGGACCTAAAGACAAGGTGGGGTAAGAGCATCACTTCTCCAACTAATATCTGGCCCAAATGTGCATTTGAATTCACACTATGATATCAGACAAACGACTAGCCTCTAAGGTTTTATCTCTGTAGCTATTAAACAGGACTTAGCCCTGTCCTTCCTTCTCTAGGTCGAGTAGAAGATCAAAAGAGATACAGTTCTCACAGTATTTCAGAGACAGCTTTGAGTAGAGGAAATTGCCCTGGGTTGGGAGCCAGAGAACTGGATTTTAAATCTTGGCTCACTCTATGACCTTGGGCCCCCAAGTTGTAAGATGGGAACCCACTGCTGACTTCTCAGGCTTGGTGGAACCAGGTCCTGAAATAGGGGAGGAAATTGCTAGGACTGTCATGCCCTCCAGGCAATGCAGAGGCTGGGCTCCTCAACATTCTGTCTGGACTAGGCCCAGCTACAAAGGCATGCCAAGCCTGGCCCCTACCTACTACTGCTGAAGTCCACAGGGTGGTGCTGTTTTGGCCTATGGCACCTGCCCTTCCACGCAGAGGCACACCGTCTGAGCACCAGCAGAAGGGGTTGGCTACATTGATGCTATACTGGTCTAGGTAGGCCAACTCACCTGCACCACTGAGCCACCACATGGAGCAGCTCCTTGCATCTTTGCTCCAGCTGATAAACAGGTCCTGGATAGCTGAAATTCAGCAAGTCCGCATGGCTAATCTGCCTTCATGAAAGAACTGTGTTTCTGTGGCTCTGGAACCCAGGGTAGGCCCTTCTCCCTCAGTTACTTTGAAACCAGAACCACCACCACCACCACCACCCCATAATAGTACAGAGGCCTGCTCCCCGCCCAGTCTGCTAGCACACTATCTCTGCCCCTTCCCCTTGACCCACTAGATACTTAACCTGGAAATCAGGGTAGGTAGGAAGGGGGCTACCCCTGAACTGTTCCTTAAAAAAAAATCCTCTCTTGCCAGCACCCTTTCTACACTACAGCAACTTGTTCCTTAAAAAAAAATCCTCTCTTGCCAGCACCCTTTCTACACTACAGCGTGAGCTCCCTAAGCCCAGTGACCTGTGGGTCCCATCGTAAGTACAATACAGGCTTAGCAGCCTTCCTCTCCATGGGTCTGCACTCCTTCATCTGTGGCTGTGTCTGAGGCCTGGATGCAGATGGAGGTATTCTGAACCTGAGGGATATTGACACCCAGAGTAACAACATCCTGGAGGTGGGGCAGCTGTTTGTTTGTTTGTCTTGGTTTTTCCGTTTTGTTGTTGTTTGGTTTGTTTTTTCCCCATACATAAACTGTTTTGGCCATCCAAAGAATGGACATCAAGCATGGGGTCCAGGCTGAGCCAGAGGTTTTGGTTTTCAAACCACTCCCTACTTAAGGAAAACACCCACCTAGGATGAGACTGTCTGAAGCCTTGCCCAGGAATATAAACTACCTTCCTGGATGTCACTGCAGTAGTGGGGCAGGTAATCAGCACCAGGCTCTGGCTTTTGCCTTGTTTGGCATGGTTGTCCCCAATCCTCCCAGGAACTCCAGCCCTCACCCACTGACCCACGTGGACCTCCTTCTATAGCTCAAGGATGCCTGGGATGAACTGCTCTGGGATACACCAGCACCTGGCTAGCTGGACAGCTGAATATGACCCATCCCTTTTCAGGGCAAGGAGGTACTGATCCCACTGCCAGGGGAACCAGATGTGGCAAATAAGAGCTATGACTGTATATCTATCTCCACCTCCAGGCAGTCATATAAAATGCCCTTTTCCTGACACTGTAAGTTAAAGGGGTACAGGTGTTTGTGAAAGTATCCTTAAAGAAAACCAATGTAGCCTTGAACGTTATGGTCCATACAGCCAATAGTAAAAGGACCACATGGCTGCCAAATCCAATGGGAATCACCTTACCTTTACAGCCACCCTTACCCCAAGAGTCCTTTTGACACCATGCCCCCTGGTGGTTAGAGGAAGTAAACCAAGGGGGTATAGGCAAGATGTTTGAGAACAGCCATTACTCTGACCCCCAATGCTACCTTCATTCCCCACTCACTTCCCTCTTTGTGACAGGACAGGGCCTGGCTGGTCAGTACTATCCTTGAAGGTTAGCACTCGAAAGCTCCCCAACCCCTAGGACTGCCGGAGTCCTTTAGGGGCATAAACTGGAGTATAGGGGCATCTCTCAGGGGCTTGAGTGGAGTTAGGTCTGTGCAGGCGAGGGCATCAAGTAGGAGCATGGTTTCCACTCACTGCAAGTACACATTCAGGTATGGGGCCCTGTCACCTTTTGATCAGAGCAATTTTGACACCGCTCTGCCGACATAAATTACCTTTGCTCCTCCAGGTTTGGAATAAGCAGTTCACATGCCATTTCCAATGGAGATGGGAAGGGAACTGCAGATCAAAGGGGGACGGGAGAGGAATTTTTACCATTTATCAAGATATGCGTTCAGGCACTTCATTTTTTATATGAAAGCATTTGCAGTGTGTAAGGGGTCGGAGATCCTTGCAGGCAAAGTGTATATCTCCATAGCTGAAATGACAGGTGGTCAAGGTGCCTCTCTCTTCCCTTCCCATTGGTTCTAACACTGGTTACTTTGTGATGATGAGCCTTGTCTCTTTCCTGAGGTCTTGGGAAGCCAGAATGGCTGTTGAGCTTGAGTCAAGGGGGTCCTCAAAGCAGTGTCACGAGTCAAGCAGTCAGAAGACTGCTCCTTGCATTTTGCCAAGAGTAGAGCTTCAAGATAGGTCACAGACAACCTGGATCCCACTTTCCCCTACCTCAGGTCCAGGAAGCTCATTTCTGGGAGCCAGTGACCATTCTTGGGTGCTGCATGGGTGTATCCAGTCAGGGTCCAGGAGACTCCTAACTTGCCATGGAGACAGGAAGGTCTAGCCTGATGTGTCGCTCAACCGAAGGAAAATGCTGGGCATGGCTGCCCCGAGCACTCACACCTATTCTGTGCATTCGGCTCTGTATTCTAATCCCAAGAGGCTGGGGGCAGGACCCCTCCTAGTTCTTCCTACAGCTCTTCACACTGTCTCTTTTAACCATTTACTGAGATGAAATCCATCTCTCTCTAGTCCTGGGGAAGGACAAGAGCAAAGGAGGCTAAGACAGACCGAGAGTGTGACCGGTCCATCCCAGAGCCCAGTATTCTTCAAAGAGGAAGCATAGGAACAGAGGTGGGTTCCTGGAATCTAGACAGAGGGTGGCTATGGGAATTCAATGGGTGACTACAGTCTCCCTTCTTCTAGGAATAAAAAGGAGTAAGAGCCAAGGGAGGGATTATAAGGTCCCAAGGTGCTCATTGACATACCCTTTGTACCCCTGAATCACTGTCATTGCCTAGAGAAGGCTAAACTCCACTCGGAACTCATGCCAAACTGTCAGCCTCCTCCTTCCCACCCCACCCAGAGACCACACACAGGTCCTGCTGCTTGCTGCTTTTATTTTCCTTGTGACAGACAGACAGAGAGCTGCACAGACAGCTGGATGGCTGAGGGGATGGTCAGGACAACATAGGCAATAGGGGATTTGGATGGAAAGGAAACTCCACAAAAGGCAATAAATAAATAAATACAAATAGGAAGAAGGGCAAAGGCATGGAGGAGCAGTGGGGACATCCTTGGGCCAGTGTAGAGGGCCCAGAACTGCATCTGCTGGGACAGGAGGCCAGCTTTGGTGGCCTGAGGTCCACATCGCTTTGCCTTTCTCCTTTCTCTTTTTGAAGATTCAGCTGCTGGCCTGCCCTGCCAGCCCTGAGCCCGCTCTCTGCCCTCCCTTCCACCTCTCTGCTCTGGCTCCTGGTATGTAGCAATGGTCTGCCCTCCTCTCTATACTCATGCCCAGCTTATTGTTCCCACACCATGGGATCCTTCTCCCTCTCCAGCCACTCCCTGAGATATCCGGTATACCTCTCCCATCCATGCCAGAACCTTCCTCAAGTTCCTTCCTCCCCAGCCTCTACTTTTCCACCCTTCACTTCCCCACTCCCTTCTTGCCTCCTTCTGTTCTCACCCTTGCCCAGTCTGACCAGTGGGTCTCCTGCTCTGGTTGTAGCCGGGGTGACATCCGGCTGAAGCCCCAGGGGCCTTGTCCCCTTAGGTCCATGAGGTAATAGCCCAGCCAGATGTTGCTGCTGCTGGTATCTGAAGCCCCGGCCTGTCCAGCTCCTCATGGGCTCTGGAATGTCCCTTGGCAGCGTGCGTGAGAACCCGAGTTGATGCCCGTGGCAGAGCTGTGGTCCATGCCACCTAGGGGCTGCCAGGGTAGGAGCGGAGCAGCACCTTGTGACGGGTAGCAGCCTCGGCCCGGCGTCGCCGCTGCTCACCCAGGAATTCCTTGAGCCGGTTGGTGGTGAAGGTGAGTGTCTGGCGGCGCAGCTTCATCAGGTAGGCATCTTGCAGCCACGGGTGGGCCAAGCAGTCCTGCAGTGAGGGCCGGCTCCTGCCAGGCCAAGTCAGGAATCATGAACCAGGAAAGAAGTTCTTGGAGAGGGCAGGCTGTGCCCTCTCTCAAGCCCTTTATTAATTCTGATTCACCAATATGTGTGTGATACTGGGCTCAGTTTCCCAGTCTCTGGAATAGGGACAGCAATTCTGTCTTTCCCAGGGCTGTCACCAGCTTTACATGGCAGGCAGCAATGACCGTTGCTGCTGCTGCACTCACTATATGGAGGGGGTGGGAGTCTTTGGACACATGAAGCCAGGCAGTCTGCATTCAGAGGCAGGTGACACTGGAGGGCTGGCAAGCAGGAGGCCTACTCACCAGGGATGTACTGAAAGGACCTTTCGCAAGAAGAGGGTGGCACTCTGGGATGTGTTCGGGTACAACTGGAAGGCATCAAAGCGACCCCCCACAATCCGAGCCTCTGTTTCCTGGGGGTCTGGCTCATAGAATGGCGAATATCCACTAAGCCTGTTGTGGAACACAGGTGAGTTGGCACAGTCTCAGATGCCCCTCTTACTGCCTCTACCTTAGAATGATGGTCAGTTGTCAGGCCTAAGAGACATTAGTGTAGGGCATCAGGGAGGGGCACAATACACAGGGACTGTGCCACCTTGCCACTGGATGTGTGGCGGGAAGACAGGGCATGAAGGAGGAGCTGTGGGCAGAAATGGGCTGAGAGCTAGAGTGGGCCAAGGGAGAGGATCATGGGTAGAGGAGAGCAGGGAGCTAGAGCAGGGCCAGATCACTTACATGATGTAGGTGAGCACACCTGCTCCCCAGATGTCTGTGGCAGAGCCAATGGGATCTCCCTTCACCATCTCAGGAGCTGCAGGAGACAGAGGTCAAGTTGAACTCTAGGTTCCCTGTGGCAGGGGAACAGGAAGAGGGAGGCTGGGGTGGGGGTGGCTCTGGGGCCTTAAGGAGCAGGAGGAAGCAGGACCAGCAGGACCACGGCCAGGTTACCACACCATGAGTAAAATCAGAGCAGCAGGCCTTACAGGTCAGTGGACAAGACAAAATGGGTGTGGCCACCAGGAGAGGTGGGCCACCTGAGGCACTGGATGATGGAGGTTCCAGGGGACCTAAGATTCAACTTCACAAGCTGCCTTGGATCAGTTCCATGTGGCCAACACCAAGTTTAAGAGCCTTCGAAATCAGCCAGGCTGGCTCGAATCCCAAGCCTGCCCCTCCTAACTGTGGGACCTTGGGCCATTTCCTAAGCCAGCCTAGCTCTCCATTGTCTCATCTAGGAAGTGTGGCTTGTAGAATAACTCTAAGGAATAGAGACAATAAGCATCAGTTAGCAGGTAGCTAAATGACCGCTGGTTTTTCCTGCTCAGTACAGTCATAATTGATTCTCTCGTCTTCCCAGCTTTTACAAATCCCATTGCAGTTATTTGTAACTGTCTAATTGGACGAATACTTAACGTCAGGGTTCCTCTCTTTCCTCATCTATAAAAAGGGAGTACTATTATGCCAAACTCTGGGGCTATTGCAAAGATCAATGGAAAAAACTCCGTTCATTATTTACGTAACAGCTGAATGGTACATGCGTGAGTGAAGGGGTGAACCTGGCATGCGCCTCTGGCAGTTCCCAACCCTCTACCATGACCAGCTGCTGGTCTTCTCACCCATGAACTCCAGAGTGCCTGTGCGGTGGCCAAGGGGCTTCAGGGCCTGAGGGTTGTAGGGCTGGGCACTGCCAAAGTCCACAATCTTAAGGGCATTGTCGGCAGCCAGCAGCAGATTGTCTGGCTTGATGTCCAGGTGTAGCACATGGTGGCCATGGAGGTAGTCCAGGCCTTGTAGCAGCTGCACCACGTAGGTGGCCACATCATCTTCTGAATACCGGAATCTGGGGTGAGGTGGACGTGGGATAGGTGATCTTCCAGCCAACTTCCCCAACTCCCGCTCCCCAGGAACACCCAGCTAGCTACCTGTCACTGAGCCCACAGAGGAGTTCCCGGTTGCCACAGCTCTCAGCAATGAGCACAAGGTACCGAGGGGTGATGTAGGCCTCGTGCAGGGACATGAGCCGCTCATGGTGCAGTGTTCGAAGCACCTCATACTCCTGCAGCACTCGATGCTTGCCCTCTGCCGCATAGGGCACGATCTTGGCAACAAACGTTCGGCCTGTTGCATTCTCCCGGCATGATCGCACAACACCAAAGCGGCCCCTGTGTGTGTAGGAGGCATACCACAGACTTCAGGGCGGGCACTATCCGTGTGAGAGAGAGCTCACATGGGAAGCGGGGACCCTGGGAACTGGATTGCAGTGCTTCAGAGTTCAGTGCTAGGAACAAAGATTCCAGCACGCACTGGCATCTCTACCTATGGAAGATCCTGTAGCCTTAGTTTTCCCATCTGTGAAATGGGTGATGATGACAAGGCAGTGCCTTCCCCTCACAGTTGTGAAGATGAAATGACAGCAAGTGGCTCAGGCTCGGGGAAGTGCCTAGCTGAACTCGATAGTTCTAAAGACCCACATCTCTCAGCATTGCCCTCCAAGTCCAGCCAGGACAGTCTGCTCTGCCTCTGAAGCTCTGTGTTCCTTGGGTCCCCTCCACTCTCCCAACTCCCCTTCCCCATCCCTGCTTGCCTGGCCTTCTCCTCTAGGAAGGTGTAGGGTTTCTGAGGGGGGCCCTGTCGAAGAGTGGTGCTCTCAGGTGTGGAGGAGCTGACCACCTCCTTGGCTGGGCTGAGGCTCCGCACAGTCACCTTGGTGGGCTCAGGAGGGGGCTCAGGGGCTGGGGGCTCAGGGGCTGGAGGTGCAGACATGAAGGAAGTCACCATATACAAGGAAGATGGGGAAGGTGCTGGTTTAGCTCCTTGAGGAGTAGAGGTTGGGGTCAGTGCTCCAGTGTCAGGGACAAAAGACTTGGGTTCACTTGGGGTGACTTGGATCCTGGGTGGGGTGGGCTCTGCTTGCTGGGCAGCCAGCAGACCCCTGTGCTTTCGTGGGGGGGTTGGGGGTGGTGGACCCATGGCCCTAAGTGAGGACAAGGCCTGGCTAGCAGACATGGGGGAAGTTGAAGAGCTAAGAGTGGCTGCCTGGGGGCTTGGGGGAGCAAGAGCTGGGGTAGGGGCCAGTGAGGTAGGAGAGTAAGGAGGTGGGGCCCTGGCTGGCCCTGAGGTAACAGGGGCATCTTGGGGAGCAGCAGCTGGCTGAGCTGAAGAATCTAAGAGGAGACAAAGAAAATGATCACTGAGTATTCTGGGAGCAAAGCTATGATGCTCCAAGGAGTGTGGAGGCCCTGGGCTTGCCACTACCACCCTATACCTTCCACTGACCTTGAGGGCCTCTGATGAGGACTTTCTCAGAAGGGTTGCTGAAGGGCCCCTGCCCAGCACGGTTGGAACAGGCCACACGGAACCTCACAGTCACACCGACAGGCAGTTGTGTTACATTGTAGTAACAGTCGGGGACGCCTGAACTTACAGGGTGCCAGGCAGATTCCCCTGCCGGCAGCACAGGGAGAGTTAGGGCCACAGAAGGGATGGCCCCAGCTCTCTGTGCTATTTATAAAGAGCCCAGAGAAGATGCCTCTATCTAGAGAAGACACTGGCCTTCTTCAGCGGCACCGCCACCCGCAACCCCTGGTCTGCCACCGGCTGCCTCATGCTGCCCCTCATCCTGCCTCGCCCTCACCATCTATCCGACGCTCCAGAGTGTAGGTGCAAGGTGCCCGGCTGTCTCCCGGCTTCCACAGCACCAGCGCTGTATCATGGTAGGTCTGTGGCACCTCTGGAGGAGCTAGCTTTCCTGGGATGCCTGGGAGAAGGAGCAGAGGCCCCAGCTGAGGGTTCAGCAAGCTCTACCCCACCTCCTCATCCCTATTGCATGGGCCCTGCCCCCCTAACTCACGGGCCACAGACACAGTACAGGAGCTGGTAATGCTGCCCAAGACGTTGGTAGCCGAGCACTCATAGAGCCCAGTATGCTCCTTGCCAGCCCGGGGTATGCTCAGCAGCTGCCGTCCATCTTTGCAGGACACAATGACCACTGAGGGCTCTGACCTCAGGGACTGCTTATCTGGGGACAAGAAGGCACGGGGGGGGGAGGGGCAGCTGAGTAAAGCCAGGTTTCTCTCACTGGCCCTTTATTTCTGCTTCCCTGTGGTCTAGCCTCTCCTACACCCTTTACTGGGAGCCACTTGTTACTCCCTGCCTACCCTACTCTGTGGAAGATGCAATCTACTTACCTTTCATCCAGGAGATACGGGGTGCTGGGCAGGCTGCTGGCAGGCAGAGCAGAGTGGCTGCTTCCCCCTCCAGCAGCACCTGGTCCTTGAGTTTAATGTGGAAGACTGGGGGGAAATCTGAAGGAAAAGAGACAACTCAGGACCCTGGCTGCTTGCTGCCGAGAGAGGGGCAGATGCATGAGGGAACACAGCGACTGGGTCTCTCCTCCCAGCCAAACGCAGGGAGTAGAACCCCACACGGCCGCCTCCACCATGGGTTCAAGAATTTTCTTGTGGTAAGCATCACCTTCTCCAGGCCCTCAGCATATGCAGAACCACCTTCTTGACTGATGATTGGAGATGCTCGGTGCATCCCTCACCTTTGTAAATCACTTAGAGCCGGCCAGCACTAAGCATATTCTATAAGCATTTGTTAAAATAAAAACAAACACATTTTGAAAAATGGTAACAGTTAAGATTCTGTAATTTAGATTCCCTCTGGGCCACTACAAGGCAAGTGGGATGCGAAGGGGGAAACAGCAGTGACCTGAGCTAACCTGAGCTGCAGGCAGAATCTGTGATCAGAACGTGTGGACTTGGGGACAGCACATAAAGGCTCTTGCCACCAAGCCCCATGACCTGAGTTCAGTTCAAGAGATCCACATGATGGGAGGAAAAAAAACACACTTCTGAAAATTGCTCTCTGTCTTCCACACCCATGTTATGGCATGCACTTGTAGGTGTGTGTGTGTGTGTGTGTGTGTGTATACACATGAACAATATATAAATGTAAGTGTTTAAAAAGTTTAAATGTTTGAAAAATGCCTTTAATTCCAGCATTTGGGAGGCAGTGGCAGGAGGATGGATCTCTGTGATTTCGAGGCCAGCTTGGTTTATATAGTGAGTTCCAGGACAGCCAGAGCTACATACACTGAGAGACCCAGTCTCAAAACACAAACAAAAAAACCCCTGCACTCTCCAGAGTTCTGAAGCCAGCGCCCTCTGTGGGCAGCCTCTAGAAGGGTATCTATATCTCGGCCTCCCTGGGGTATAGGCAAGGTTCCTGACATTCCAACTTCTGCATAGTCAACTCAGACCCCTAAAGAGCTTCTGAGAGTGCAGAATTGAGACTACAGGACCCTAAGCAAGTCACAAGCCCCTTCAGGAGCTCCATTTCTAGTCTGCGAATTGAGAGACTGAGCCCAGTCAAGCTTGGGTGGGGAGGGTTTGCTGTAAGAATAAAACGAGGTTCTTCATGCTGGCTCGTGTGCGGCATGAAGGACGTGCTCCCAAACAAACATTAGCTCTTCTTGAGGTTGTTACTATTATCTCTTTAACACACCCAGCAGAGAAGCCAGGAGCTGAACCTGGGAAAAGGAATTGTTTGAACAAAGCAGAAAACTGCCTGGACACTGGTTGGTGACCTTGCCCAAGGCAAGAGGCTTGGAGTCTGAGCCAGTTCTACTGGGCTGGAGTTCCTCAGAGGCAGGATGATTTGAAATCGTGACCCCTGAATTGTTCCTTAAGATCTAATCTGGTTTGGGTCACGGAAGGTGGGGTGTGTCTTCTTCAACTGGGGAAAGAGCGCTAAAGACCTCTGGGAAACCAAGATCTGAAGGACCAGGAGGGATCTGGAATTCAGCAGGAGCACACGAACAGTGTACTCTATTGTGCCTGAGGAGGGGTCCTAATCTCATCCTCCAGTGTACTGGGGATAGCCTCATCAGTTGCTGCCCCCAGTCCTAGTTGGGGCACCAGGGAGGGAACAAAACAGGTCAGGGTAAGAGGCGAAAGATGACCCTGGCCCAGCCCTGACAGTCCTACTGTCATTCCCTCAGGGCCAGCCCCATTTGATGAAGCAGGAGAGGCTTCTTCCTGCAGGGAGATAGGTCAGAGGGCACTGCTCATCAGGGAACTGGCTACACTAGCAAAATGGAGGCCCCAGGTGGGAAGGAATTAGCCACCCTGCATTTCTCTGCCATGCTCTCCTCCACCCCCCTACTTTCCATTCTCTCCCAGCCAGCTGGTCTTCCCTCCCTACCATACCAGCCCCACAGCCCTGACTAGAGCTCTGGAACAGTCCTCCCAAGCAAGCCCAGCTGGAGCAAAGGGAAGGTTAGACCCATTCTGACCATTTTAACCCCAAACGAGGCCAGGATAGAGTTGACAGCTTCTAAAGGTCACGTGCATAGCCTTGCTTGGTGGCTTCCTCCTGACCACCCCATGGCCTGGAAACCTGGCCTCTTTTCCAGGTGGAATGACACCAGGTGGGGAATACCTCCCTCCCTGCAAACAAGGACACTTGAGCAAGAAATAGACTAGGGGATGTGGCAGGGCTCTCCTCCAGAAAAAAAAAAAAAAAAAAAAGCCCTAGGGCCACTTTTCTCTGAAGATGTGCCTTCTGGGTGAGGAGGAGAGGCAGTCAGGAGTTCAGAGTTGTAGAGAGCTGAGGGTGTAGTTCACGCTGGGAGACAAAGGGTGTCTTTGATTGCACACACTCTGGGGCTCTGGGTGCACAAAAGTAGGATTTTGAGCTGGTTCACAATTACACTGAGATTCAGAAACCTTCCAAGGTCTTCCAAGAGACACAAGGCCAGTCAAACAAAGGCCTTAATAGAGTGACCTGGCGATGCTCTGGGCTGTGGCTTCTCCCTTATTAGACCTGAGACTTGGACAAACTACTGGGCATCACTTCACTAAGCCTGCCTGCTTCTTTCACCGGTAAACTACAATGCTGAAGATCATCCTCCTAAAGAATGCCGTGGTGTTAAACAAGACAGCGTTTGTGACATGCTTAATAGGACACTTGCCTCTGCTAATTAATGGCAGCTGCTACTGTAATTATCATTGTTGTTTCCCTAACTGGAGGCCTCTTCCATGGCTGCCCAAGCTCCTCATGATGAACTACTCTCATCCAGCCAGGAGAGCAACCTGAGGCTTCTTACCTGATTCACTGGGCACATACTGGTGACCTAAGTCCTCTTGGACACTGGCGGAGAGGTTTGGCTGCGATAAGCCCTTGTTCTTGCGCAGCCTGGAAAGGCCCCACCGATGCCGGCTTCGGCTCTCCCCTGGAGCTGTACAAACCCAGACTCATGAGCTCTTGTGTAGACACTATCAGTCAGCACCCACATCCCTGTAGCTCTCAAGGTAAAAAAAAAAAAAAAAAAATCAAAGCCGCCTTGTCCCTCCTCTTCCTGTTCCCATCTTAGCCTCTGTCTCTCCACCTTTCTCCTCCTCTCTCTGTAGCCATGCCAATACCACCCTCAGGCCTCTAGAGCCCCCTTCTCCTTTCAGAGCACACCATACCCACTTCTCACCTAGTCCCTCCTTACCTGAGGAACCCGATGTGCCACTCGTCTCTGAGCCCAGAGACTCAGCGGAAGGTGTGGTGGCACCAGCCTGAGAGGCCAGTTGATTGTGTGGAACACCGAGGCGTCGCAGGCTCTCCCCTTCCGAAGTAGCCCTGCGCAGCCGTCCAAACAGGGGTGTGCTGCGACCCGAGGCGCCCCCGGAGTCCTCGCTGCTGCCGCTGCGCTGCAAACGGCTGGACAGACGCTCCAGCGTGGAGCTTAGTCTCCTGCGCACCGCCAGCACCGGGGAGCCCCGTGCTGAGCTACCACCCTCAGAGCTCTCCCCATCTCCACCGCGGGACTCCCAAGCTGGGTGTCGTTGCCCGGGCGGGGTCCTCCGCAACTTCTGCGACAGGGACAGCGAAAGGCGACGCACGAGGCCTGGCTCTCCCGCTACCCTGAGGTCCTGCACAGAGCGTGAGCGCTCGGGTCTTCGCACCAGCTCTAGCGGAGTTCCCGCCGGGCTGGGACGGTAGATGCCATCGTCCTCCGCCCCACGGAAGGGACCGCGCTCCTCCGAGCGCGAGCGGCTCAAGAGCCGCAGGCCCCGTGACAGTGGCGATTCGCGGCTGCGCTTGAACTTAGCCTCGAACACAGCCTCTGATTCTAGGTTCTCGATGCTGCTGCTAAGGCTGCTGCCTGGCCTGGGAGGCACCGTGGGGACTCGGGCTTTCTCGGCTAGCACTGGGGGAGTTCTGGCCAAAGGCACGCGCTTATCGGAGGCTCCGGAAGATGGGGAGGCCACCCTGGCATACACAGCCGCGTGGGGCTTGGGCTCTGATGGAGGCACAGCAGGGTCCTGTGGGGACTGGGTGGGACTGGACAGCTGGAGCGACTGCATGATCTGAGCATAGGGGGTGAGAGGCTGCGCTGGCATTTGCAGAGCCAGCGTTGGCTGTGCTGGTTTGGCAGCTCGGACTGGCTCTGTTTTGGGCTCTGGGACCTTCTCTGGGGCGGCTAGGGGTGCGGGGGCCTGGGGAGAGTCTCTGGGTGTAGCAGCTGGAGGTTCCGGAGACTTGGGAATACTGGGTTTGGGGACGCTGGTCCTCACAGGGCTGGGTGGCTGGGCTTCGCTAAGGGCAGATAAAGAGGGTGACTCCTGCAGCCTGCGAGCCCCAAGCCTGGCTACCGGGATTTCGAGGGGTGCCCCAGCGCGCCGGTGCCGACCCCGGGCGCCCCCGCCCCTCCCCCCCCGGGGCCCCCCCCCCCCCCAGCCGCTGACGCAGGGCCTGCAGCCTCTGGCCGTACTCGCCCTCACCCAGGCCTCCCCGAGTCAGGCGGGTGGCACCCGGGCTGGGGCTCCTGCGCTGCGGCAGCTCCACAGATGCTGCCTTGTGCAGGCTCCGGCCCGGCTCCCGCGACCCGACTCGGGGCAGGGCGCTCTCAGCAGAGCTGCCCCTACGGAGCTCCGGCCGCCTGGGGCTAGGCCCATCTGGGGGCTCCTGGCCTGGAGAGGGGAGTGCCTCAGGGCTGGGGGCCTCCTGGTCCTTAGAGGGAGCCCTTCCCTGTTCTTGCCAGTCCATGGGGGTGGCAGCCCCAGCGTCCGGGGTCCCCAGAGCCTCATCTTCAGTGGGGATGTCAGTGAGGGATACCCGAGAACCTGAGAACTCGGGCTGCAGGGGGCGGGGCACCGAGGGAAGTTCTTCCAACTCTTCCTCTTCTGAGTCTGATGAAGATGAGAGTCCCCCACTTGGGGGTGGTCTTCTAGGCATGGCCACCCACACCCGCTCCGGGGGAGCACGTAGCAGCTCTGGAATGGGGCGCAGCACCAGGTGGCACTTGTAGCTGATTTGGGAGCGCTGCAAACGAAGTACTTACAGTCAGACCAGAAAGGCCCAGAGGCCTAACCAGGCCCTTTTCAACTCCAGGAGAAAGAAATATAGAGTTGGGAAGGCAGCTCAGGCAGGAGTGGGAGGTAGGGATCACCATGGGGGAGGGGAACGACTGTGTGGAAGGAAGGAGGGAGTAACAACTGTGTGGGAGTAAATCAGTGTGGAAAGGACAGATACACTCACCTGCCACCTCCTCCGTGACAGAAAGAGCTTCAGGTGATCTGTGCTCACCTCTGCACCTTTTGCTTGTGTCTGAAAACACAGAAAAGAGGACCTGAGGGCCAGCACTCTGCCAACCCAGAACGACAAAGCTCACTGTGGAGCTTGGAACTAGAAGTATGGGTTCCTGTGGGTCTGTCCCTGTGACTTTGTCAGGGCAGAGGAACACCTGAGACAAATTCTTTGATTGTAAGAGTACCTGAGGGAGCGTGACTTTCCCTGGCATACTGGGTACCCTGTGGTACCTTCCTGTCTCTATGTATGACAGGCATCCCAGACATCTGAAGTCCTGGTGGTCCAGACTAACAAGGCTGCCAGCAGCATCCCACCCAGCTCACTCCAGGGGGCTCACTCCACTACTGCTTGTTTCTGGTCTGAGGAAGGAAGCTTGCACTTCAAGGGTTGCTAGCAGAGTGGCTTCTCTTCAGCTGGCCCAGCACTGTGCTCAATGACAAGTCTTTTGTAGGATGATGGGCACCAAGCTCCGGGCCTTGAATGTGCTAGGCAAGCAGTCTGCCACTGAGCTACATAGTCTCACCCAATGGCAAGTTTATTTAGATGCCTTTTCTGGACTCATTTGCTGATGGCCTCCTCACCAGTGCCTAGCTCAGGATGCTGGGGCTTGAAAATGATGAGAACCCTGATCATGTAAAGTTCATGATAAATGAGTGAGCCAGGCCTCCCAGCCACTAGTGTATGGAACAACCCAGGACAGAGGTGGGCACACAAAAGGAGAGAATTAGACCAGGATTGGTCTTGAACACCAGTAAGAACTTTGAAGAGGATTCCCCAGGAGAGGAAGAGGAGTTCAGGCCTATGCTTAGAGTCTAGCTACTCCAACTTGATCATTGACTTGGGCCTCAGTGTCTTTATTACTAAACGGGAGCAACGTTAGAAGCTTTTACAGATCCATTGTGAGGCTAATGTATATAAAATGTATATAAATGCATTTCATAGTTATCACATGTAATGCTCAGTAAATGGAGCCATTAGTAACATTCTCTCTTTCCCCATCTCTGTAGCATGCTTGGTAGGACCAGACTCACTTTGAACCAAGGATGTTCCAGTGTCTCTTCTGCAGTAGGTCTCCTGTAAAGGAATGAGAAGCAATGATTTATCATTCATTTGTTCATGAATGGTTGAGAAAATGGAACCTCTTAAGAACTAGGGATTTGGGGCTAGAGAGATGGCTCAGCAGTTAGAGGCACATCTAACCACTGCTCTTCCAAGGTACCTGATCAGACAGATTACAGTTTCCGTAACTCCATGTGCAGGGGGTATGATGCCTCTGGCCTCCACAGATACCATCACTCATATGTACATAACACACTGGTATGTATGTGTGCACGCGCGCGCGCGCACACACACACACACACACACAATGGCTTCTCTTCAGCTGGCCCAGCACTGTGCTCAATGACAAGTCTTTTGTTTTGTAGGATGATGGACACCAAGTTCCGGGCCTTGAGTGCTAGGCAAGCAGTCTGCCACTGAGCTACATAGTCTCACCCAATGGCAAGTTTATTTAGATGCCTTTTCTGGACTCATTTGCTGATGGCCTCCTCACCAGTGCCTAGCTCAGGATGCTGGGGCTTGAAAATGATGAAAACCCTGATCATGTAAAGTTCATGATAAATGAGTGAGCCAGGCCTCCCAGCCACTAGTGTATGGAACAACCCAGGACAGAGGTGGGCACACAAAAGGAGAGAATTAGACCAGGATTGGTCTTGAACACCAGTAAGAACTTTGAAGAGGATTCCCCAGGAGAGGAAGAGGAGTTCAGGCCTATGCTTAGAGTCTAGCTACTCCAACTTGATCATTGACTTGGGCCTCAGTGTCTTTATTACTAAACGGGAGCAACGTTAGAAGCTTTTACAGATCCATTGTGAGGCTAATGTATATAAAATGTATATAAATGCATTTCATAGTTATCACATGTAATGCTCAGTAAATGGAGCCATTAGTAACATTCTCTCTTTCCCCATCTCTGTAGCATGCTTGGTAGGACCAGACTCACTTTGAACCAAGGATGTTCCAGTGTCTCTTCTGCAGTAGGTCTCCTGTAAAGGAATGAGAAGCAATGATTTATCATTCATTTGTTCATGAATGGTTGAGAAAATGGAACCTCTTAAGAACTAGGGATTTGGGGCTAGAGAGATGGCTCAGCAGTTAGAGGCACATCTAACCACTGCTCTTCCAAGGTACCTGATCAGACAGATTACAGTTTCCGTAACTCCATGTGCAGGGGGTATGATGCCTCTGGCCTCCACAGATACCATCACTCATATGTACATAACACACTGGTATGTATGTGTGCACGCGCGCGCGCGCACACACACACACACACACACAAAATTAAAAATAATACAAACTAGCCAGGCAGTAGTGGTTCATGCCCTTAATCCCAGTACTCTGGAGGCAGAGGCAGGTGGATCTCTGTGAGTTTGAGGCCAGCCTGGTCTACAAAGTGAGTTCCAGGCTAGCCAGAGTTACACAGAGAAACTCTGTCTTGAAAAAACTCAAAACTAAATAAATAAAATTAAAAGAAAATCTTAAAAATACTAAAAGAAGGGCCGGAGAAATGGCTCAGCAGTTAAGAGCACTGACTGTTCTACCAGAGGTACTGAGTTCAATTCCCAGCAACCACATGGTGGCTCACAACCACTTTGAATGAGATCTGGTGCCCTCTGCTGGAGTGCAGGCAGAAGACTGTGTACATAATAAATAAAATCTTTTAAAAAATACTAAAAGAAAAAAAGCAAAAGAGTCAGGAGTTGCGTGTCTAAGGGCAGAGGCTTGCTAGGAGTAAGCATGGTTTGAGGGCGGTCTCTGCAGTCAAGGGGTCTTCTACTCACAGATGATCCTGCACCAGCACTTTGATGAGGAAGCCCCGGGCCTCCCTGCTCAAGCTCAGGAATGTGGTCTCCTCAAAGGCCACGTTGTAGTTTCGGATGTTCATCAGTGTTGTCCGATCATTCTCCCCCACAAATGGGGAGATGCCTGTCAAACTGCAGGGGCAGAGTGGACTATGGTAAGAGATAGGCAGGACCTCGAGGCTGAAGCTAAGGTGAGGTGCGATGCCTGTGGTAAGGGGCCAGGAACAAGCAAAGGCCAGAGGATGTGGGGACATCAGAGGCTGGGAAAATCTGGACAGGAAGCCAAAGTTTTCATATTCTTGTTCTGCTCCCACTTGAGGACATCAGACAGTAAGAGAGGCAGTGGTGCCTTGGGAACCTGTTGCCTTGCTTTGGATAACATAAAACTGTCCACCTCCAGTGTGGCTTTCCCACCAGGGGACTCTCCTCCTCCTTCTAGTCCATGCTCTGGACCTCCTAGGACCAGGAAGTTCCCTGTCAAATGGTGCTAAGCCTACACTGGCCTCTGTGAATCCAGTGCGCCCACCTCATAGGGAACTGGGAAATGCCAACCAGGGTAACCAGCCTCATGCATGTGAAACCCCTTAAGAGAGGAAGGAGCAGTATGTGTGGAAGAGAAGGGAGTGGGTGGGCTGTGGGCCAATCAGGAGACCAGTAGGAGACTGCAGAGGGGTCCTTACCAGAGGAAGGCAACGACACCCACGGGCCTGTGGGAAACCAGAAGTACGGGTGAGAGGCCAGTTCACTCCAGCCAGAAATGAGAAGATCTCTCCACCACCATTCTGAAAAGGGTGGGTCCTCCCGGGAAACACTGCATAGGAGTACCTACTTCAGGTAGGCACTCAACCCAAAGTCAGGGGTCATGGCAGGGCTGACTGAGGAATCCCAGAAGTTTGAGGACCAATAAGCTCATATCCATCTTACTTGGGGAGGCTCAGTCCCAGGGAAGCTGGAAGCTGAGGACTACAGAGCTGAGGCCCAGAGGAGCTGGCTCAGCCCTGAATGACGATGGGCAGGAAGGGCAACCTTAGGAACAATGCTATCCACTATCAGAAGAGGAACCCCAGTCTCCTGAAGTTCTTCCCAGTCAGCGAGCAAGAACCCAGCGTAGCCAGCATGCCAGCATTACCAGATGTCAGTGACTCCAGACACAGGGCTCTGGTTCACAATCTCAGGTGCTACAAACTCGGGAGTGCCATACTGACAGTACTGGGGCTCCCCTGGAGTGAGTTCCTGGGCATTCCCGAAGTCACAGATGCGCACCTGCTCTTCACCCCCTGCACCATCCCAAACTAGCAGGTTCTCCGGCTATAACCAAAAGCATGGAAGCGATTAAGGAAGAACACCTCACACGACAGTCCCACCCTCTGGCTGTTCTCCACACCTCTCCTTACCTTGACATCAAGGTGTAGCACATGGCTCTGATGCAGGTAGCCTATTCCTTCTAGCACTTGCCGCATATAGGCCCGGGTCTGTGGAAACAGGGGTGGGCAGAGTCCGTGGAGGTGGGAGAGCATTCTGTTTGATCATCACCAGGGATGTGGCAAGAGGTCAGGCCATGCCTGGGCAGTGGCCTTCAGATGGGTCATGCAGCCCACCACACAGGATGAGGGATGCTAAGACTCAAGGTCACCAAACACGACTGCACAAGTTGTGCACAGTACACATAGAGAGGATAGTGATTTTATATTATTCTAAGTAGCACTGTGCAATAGACAGCTTGTACAGCCATACAGTGAGATAAAAGTCTAAGTAGTTTCTGTAGACTGTATATGTGAGCGAAATGGGGAAGCAATGGAGTTAGGGTCTGGAATACATCTGCTGTTGTTTACAAGAGACAGAGCAAGTCTTGTCTTGTGGAATAGGGAATTCTGCTGTGCACTCCACCACCACCCCGGGCTTCTTTGTGGGTACCAATGGTATGCACAGGACCCAGCCATTGTTCTTAGAGTTCACATGGGTGAAAGCTGGTGAGCAACCCAGCCCCTACCACCCACTGCCCTCACCTCAGACTCACACACGGTGGGTTTCCTGGCCATGCGCTCTAGAAGCTCTTCTGTACAACTGTGTCATAGGTCAAGGAGAAGCATCAAGCACTAACTACTAACTACCTGGCTCAGCCCCAAAACTGAGCCCAGGGCCCTCCATCCCCACAAAGCATATCTGACATGGTCAGACAGGTCCAGATACTATGTCCCCTTTTCCTGGCATCAGGTTACACACATGGGGAGACTTGCTTGAACTTTGAATTCTCAGGCAACTCCCTTACCCTTGCTGAGCATAGGTTTCCTCATGGAGTGAAATGAAGGTGACGGTTCCTCTCCTGGCCTACACAGCATTTTATAGGGTTCAAATTACAGCAGAATCTTGTTGACTATAGATGGAACTCCTCAACTATATTTGAGAGTAACCCAGAGGTCCATGTAATGAGATTATTTGTCATTTTGCTGAGGTCTGGATTTGAACAATGCAGACTGAGTGACTGGTGTTCTCCCTGCTCCAGGAGGGTCAAGCCAACGACAAGCAGGGCTAGCGCAATGCGCCTTTGTTTAGCACATTGAGAGAAAGGTGTGGCTTTGTGAAAAGAGTCCTCATGAGTAAAACAAGGTATCAGTTCTCATCAGAAGCAGGGTCCTGTCAAATGCGCAGATACACTGCATTGCATCCTGTGATGAAAACATATGGTGTTTGCTAGCTCCAGGACCTTAGAGTAACACACTATTTAACCTCTTTATACCTCTTTTATCAGCCAGAAAGTAAGGATGAAATTCTACTGGGTAGATAAACATGAGGACTGAGTATGTATTAAACATAAAATCCATGCAACATCACCAGGCACACACTAAATGGTATACAAATTTAAGGCTTTCTTTTCTTTTTCTTTTTCTTTTTTTTTTTTTTTTTTGAGACAAAGTCTCTTTATGTAGCTCTACCTGTCCTGGAACTCTCTTTGTAGACTAGGCTGGCCTTGAACTCAAAGAGATCCACTTGTCCCCATCTCCTCACAGTGTACACCACCATGAACTTAAGTTTGTTTTTTTGTTTGTTTGTTTAAACAAAGGATCTAGGAGCCAGGCAGTGGTGGTACATGCCTTTAATCCCAGCACTTGGGAGGCAGAGGCAGGCAGATCTCTGTGAGGCAGATCTCGAGACCAACCTGGTCTACAAGAGCTACAAGTGTGTGCCTCCACACTCACTTTTATGCAGTGCTGTAAACTGAACCCGGGACTCCGAGCATGCTAGGTCTCTGTGAGGCAGATCTCGAGACCAACCTGGTCTACAAGAGCTACAAGTATGTGCCTCTACACTCACTTTTATGCAGTGCTGTAAACTGAACCAGGGACTCCGAGCATGCTAGATGAGCTAGATCCCACCCCAGTGACAGCCCTAGCTCAAAGGACCACTTTGCAAAGGGCAAAACCTGTTCCCAATTTGCTTTTACAAAGGACAGTCTTTCATCCCAGTCTGGTCCCAGGATACAGCTCGGTGACAATGACAAGTCCCCGGCGCCTCTCGAAGGCTTCGTGGAAGTAGAGCACACAGTCATGCTGGAGCCGGGCCAGCAACCGGGCTTCACGTCTTGCTGATGCCTTGGGCTTGGCCTGGCTAGGGATGAACTTGGCTGCGAACTCCAGGCCAGAGCTCCGTTCCACCACACGCCGCAGGTAGGAGAAGGCGCCCCTGGAGGACACAGGGAGGGTGACAGGACCCTGCCATCACTATAGTGCTGACCTTCATCCTTCCTGGCCCTCAGACCCAGCAGCCTCTCTCAGTCCTTGATGCCAGCTCTTCCTGGCCCCACACCTGCCAATCTCTTGGTGGATGTCGTAGTAGTCGCTAAGTCTTCTTCCTCGGTGCTCCTCATCCTCTCCGACCCCCTCGACCTCCATAGCTGTCTGGACTGGGGAGACAGATGGTCCCATGTTGGGAATGGAGCAAATAGAGATGAGGGCAGAGACAGGCAATGTGGGATAGATTCAAAAGACAAAGGACAGAATGCTGGTAGTCAGTCAGGTGCTGGGACTAGAGGATGTGTGTGGTAAGATATGAAGGGCAGGGTGTCACCTGCCCCTTCTCCCCCAAACACTAACCCACCTGAATGCACAGACAACTCTGCCTTGCAGGAGACTTCGCCGCCCAGATTCCGGGCTGTGCAGGTATAGACACCTTGGCCTGACAGCTATCCCAGCCAGCCTTTCATTTGGACCCTGAGGCCAGGGGCCTGCCTATCAAGCCCCACTCTGTCTCCACTCAGTTCCTCTTAACCTGGGACCAGAATCAGCCTCTCCCTTATCTCTGGGTTAATAACCCCTAACCAGTGCCAGGCAGTGGTGGCTCACACCTTTAATCCCAGCACTCCCGAAGCAGAGGCAGGCAGATCTCTGCTCCAGGCCAGCCTGGTCTACAGAGTTCCAGGACAGCCAGGGCTACACAGAGAAACCCTGTCTCAGAAGAACCAAAATCAAAACAAACAAACAAACGAAAGCCCCTAACCCCTAGTTAGTCCCCTGAGTCCCACCTCCTCCTGCTCCTAACCACGCCTCTGCCCAGACACTGCACAAACCCCAGGCTCCCTGCCAGCTGCTGCAGCCACATTGCCCTCTGACCTTGTACCACATGACATCTGGGAGTGGTTTCCCCTCAACTACCACAGCAAAGCGGGCGGTTTCTCCAGGCCCCACCTCCACGTCTTCCATGATGGACTCAAACCGAGGGGCCTCTGCAACACACAGGGACAGAAGAGGACTGGATATCATAACCACAGGTACCTGCCTCTTCAGGCCCTGTCCCTATCAGCAACTGGATGGTGAGAATACCAGGCCCTGGCCTCCCAGATGCCCATCCCCCACCCCTCACCCCTGCCTGAGGACACCAGAGCGCCTGACATGGCTCTCCTTGTAAATCCTAAGGAAGATGCTTTCCAGGCCTCAGAAGCACTGCCCCTGGTACAGGTTGCTTTGTGAGACCCCTAGGATTTATCTGATGGCTTTGAAATGAGGACATTTTCACACACAAAAGAAATCTGGATTTTCCATTTCTCTTGTCTGGCTATATCCAGCCCTTCCTTCCCTGCAGAAACCATGAAGCTGGTGCAGTGTGGCTCAGTGCTGCCCCCTGTGGGTGACTGCTCTTCTCAACACCCTGCCTGGTGGCCTCTGACTGCCTTTACTTGGCCCCTGCAGGAGGAGACTGGGGCTGTGACCTAGAATTAAACCCCTCAAAGACACTGCCTTTATCGTGAAGTTGCTCTCTCTGAATCTTATTTAAACGTCTAGGAAGCTGTCTACCTTCTAGGAGATGGCAAGCTGAACAAAAATACCCTGCTCAAATATTAACCGGACAGTCGAGGAGTCAACTCTCAGCTTATTTCACCCACAAACCATATGGCCACATTATTCCCTGCCTCTAATCAAACACGCTTTGCAATGTGCCGGGTAAAGACTGAATTCCAGGGCCTGTGTTCTGAGCACATCTTCGGGACCCCAGCTTTAAGAGGAGTGAGAGTAATTAAGCCCCAAGGAAAAAGTAGAGTAGCTGGGTATAGACCGCCACCACCTCCCAGGGACTTGCCTAGCTTCAGATACACAACAGGAGAGGCCATTGTATCTGGGCAAGAGGCTGTTACATGGCAGACATGAAGAAAAGGGGGCTGCCTTTCTCCCTACCCTGCCTGGCTGATGGGGAAGCAGGACCAAGCATAAAGCAGTATTTGGTATAAGCCCCAGGTCCCTTATGGCTCTGTCTGGTTAAGATAGTCTCTCTCCAAACATGGTCCCCTGGAGAAGGGGAAAGGGTCACGATCCCCTGAGCAAATTGAGAGCATGGGAAGAGGGGAAGGGAGCTATGAGACTGAGAAGGGAAGAAGAGGAAGGATGCAGAGGTCATGAGGGAGCAGAAAGGTTGAGTCAGGTGAAAAATAGAGGAAAGGGTATGTGATAGGTAGGGTTGTAGTTGGGGGGGTGGTAGGGGAGGATGGGAGGGAGAAGGGAACTGGGATTGTCATGTAAATCAATCTTGTTTCTAATTCAAATAAAAAATGATTAAAAAAAAAAAGATAGTCTCTCTCAATCTCCATCCATGTCAGGCTAGGATGCAGGGCTCCTAGGCCTCTCCAAGCCCCAAATCTGGCTACACCTGGGAAGGAAGACAAGTCAGTCTAGCAGATGCTATGGTCTGGGGGCAGAGTGGTAACTGAATAGCAAGTGCAGGGTTGGGAGCTGGGCAAGAGCAAAACTCCAGAAATGGAAACCCCATCAACACAGGTCAGGAACGGCCCAGGTCCTCCTCTTAGCCCTGTGGCTACTGTACCCACTTCACAGCTGTCTTCCTTGTAGGAGCTTGGTCCTCATCTGCTGAGGGAGGAGGCACTCTATCAAGGTCAAAACTCTAGAGGTACTTAGTCAACGTCAATGACTTGTTTTTGAGACAGAATTTCTCTGTATAATAGCAGTACTAGAACTCACTTTGTAGATCAGTCTGGCCTCGAACTCACAGAGATCTGTCTGCCTCTGAGAGCTGGGATTAAAGGTGTGTGCTGCCACCACCTGGCCTTTCTTTCTTTCTTTCTTTCTTTCTTTCTTTCTTTCTTCCTTCCTTCCTTCCTTTCTTTTTTCTGGCAGAAAATGTCTCCTTATTCATAGACAATCTGTGCTAACTAAAATGTCACTTTCTGTGCTTTTGGCTGGGATCATAGCCATTCAGCAGGTAAGAATATCTCGTTCAGGAGGATCTGAAGTTTCCAGTGGAGCTAACAAAACAAAACACAAAAAGCAATGGCTACTTAATGCACCCTACAGCTCCAGAAGATCTGACTTGAAAGGAGAAATTACAGAAAGGGACTTTGGTTCTATGCCTCCACATAGTTAAAGGTGACAGTGACTGTCAACCTGTCAGTGCCAAAGTGCAGCCTTAGGTGATAAACTGTGTTTGAGGACATTTGCTTTTTAATCAACTCCTCCTTCCATACTGTTTTAGCTAGACACTGTTTCCTTACTGCTTTTAGCACACAAGCAATGGTATGCAGGGCTTTGCAGTCTGACATGAGGACTTGAGCCCAGCTCCTGAACATATTGGACTCTGTGACCTTGGGCCAGGTTACTTAACACTCTGACCTTGCTTCCTCATGTGCAAAATGGGGATGACAACTAACCCCACCTCACAAGGTTGATGCATTAAATAAGGTAGTTATTATAGAACATGCCACCATGCATGCTCAATAAATATTAGTATTATGTCTCTTATTATTACTAATACTGTTGTTATTATTAGAGGGACAGGAATGAGAGGGAGGACATGGAATTGAGTCTCCGGCAATGGTAGCATGCCTGACAGGGAGGAATATTAAGAAGCTGTCACCCACCTGCCAACTCCAGGGTGACCGAGCAGGCCTTTGTGCCATGGCGGTTTCGGGCAGTGCAGGTAAGGGGCCCCAGGTCCCGGCGGCTCACCCGGCAGATCCGAAGACAATACTGGTCATCATCTGGCTGCCTCAGTTCATACACACCTGTGCGAGCCTCTAGGAGGGCTCCTCGGCAGCTAAGGAAGATACAATGGGTGATCTGGCCAGGTGGGGTTGGGGATGGACCATCATAGGTAGGGGACCGGTGAGTAAGGACTCCTACCTCCTCCAGACAACCTGGGCCTCCACATGGTTAAAGGTGACAGTGACGCAAGCAGGTTGGCCCTCTACTACATACACTATGTCTGGTTTATCCAGCACGGCTGGGGCCTCTTCCAGGGGTGGGCCTGGGGAGAGGAGAACACAGGTTCTGTGCTGGGCTTACAATGGGGCTACGGTACCCTCTGCACCTTCACCCCCACTCCCACTAAAGTTCCAGTTTTACAGAAGGAAAGTTGAGGCTCAGGGTGCTGGAACAGAGCTAGGAAGCAGCTAAGGGATGGGATCCTGCCAAGCAATGCTATCCACACTATAGTTACCAAGTCTAGAGCAGCCTTTAAGCCTCCATCACTGACCCCTCCCACACCCACACAGGATTGGGCTCACCATGCTCTAACAGTTGCACAGGCTCGGACGGTGCTGAGGGCTTGCTGCTGCTCTTGCCACTGGTGCTGAGGACCCGGAAGATGTGCTGGAGTCCCTTCTTCAACCCTGTGGCTGCCCACTCAGGCTCCCGAAGGCCTGTGACCAGTGCCGTCCACTGGTCTGAGCCCAACACCTGGTGCTGCACAGTGTATGTCAGGGAATCTGGGTCTAGACAAGAAACAACAGAGATGTTCCTGGTCCCCCTTCTAGCATACTACCCAGTCCCCCATCATAAGCTCAAAAGCCTGGACCTTTCAGTGCCCCTGCCTGAGCCTTCTCTGCTCATGCCTCATCCCTACCCTCTGACCTGTGTGGCCCGGACCCACCAATTGCCATGTCCAGACTCCTGGGTGGGTTCCATGTGAGCGTGACCATCCTTCCTGTCACAGCCACGACTTGCGGAGCACCGTCTGGAGGGCCTGGAACCACATCTGAAAGCCACAGGTGGGAGGTGTGAGGGTGCTTCAGGGCCTAACTGCTCTACAGGATCATCAACCCTTAGGCAGGAAGCTGGGGCTGAGGCTCAGCCACGGGCACAGGGGCAATGCCAGCTGCTCCCTCGGCAGTGGAGAGGGAGCTGGTACAGAGTCCCCCCCACCTCCAGTCTCGCCCTTGGGTGGTGCCAGAGGCCATAGTGGACAAAACTGCTAGAGAGGGTGTTTGCCTCACCTGTGACATAGAGGTGGGCATAGCAGGCAGCTTTGCCCAACTTGTTGGCGATGACACTCTTATAGACACCAGCGTGCTGAGGCCCCACAGCTGGGAACACCAGGCGATGTATATCCCTGTCTGTCAGGGAGGGACAGTGATACATGGCTGACCAGGAGAATACTTTGTGGGCTTGGCTCATGCAAGCTCAAGCCTGGCCACAGGTACACTACCCACTGCAGGGGGAGGGCAAGGGGGAAGGACAGGGCAGCCGCCAAGAGACATGCGCTTCCTGTAGCCAAAGCTGGTCCTTGTTGTTCCTCTTTAGTATTTCAAGTCTAGTCACTTGGCATCATCTTCTCACACAAGGTTTGTCTTTGTGTGTCCCCAACCCCATGACAGCCCCTTCATTCCTGTACCTCCAAGGGGTTACAACTTCCAAGTCAAAGTTGTGACAAAGTTTTGCTACTAGGTCCCTCCCCCAGTCTCTTCTCATCCCAGCAGAGCCTGTACCTCATCTCTAGCAGAGCCTGAGTTAAGTCTACTGGAGATCAGCCAAATCCAGCGACCCCAATGCCCCTCCCACCTTCTGGCTATTCCGTCCCAACTCTCATAGATGATCGGGTCCCTGAACAGGCCATATGAGTTCCACCTCTGACTCTTAGCTCACCAAATTCCTCCCTTCCAGAATGTTCTCAACTCTTACCTAAAACTCCCTTCTCCTTTAAGACATAGTTCAGGCACATGCCCATGAAGCCTAGCCTGCCAGGGCCCCACCCCTCCTTCCAGTACCCTGACGATGCCCTTCCTTGGTCTCAAGCCCTCTTGAAGCTCCTTGCTGGGTACCAGGTCCCAATGATTTTGGAGAGTTCTTCTTTTCACATCTGTGAGTGACAGCTCCAGTCCAGCTCTGATTGTTCCACCCAGAACTCAACACTTTGCATACAGTAAGTGCCAAATATGTGTCATTATATAAATTATAATAAGTGTTGTCTGCTCTGTGTTCATCCTATGCCAGGTACTTGACATGATTTTCTCAACCCTAACCCTTCCAAAATTATCCCCATTTACCAATGAGGTCAGAGACATTAATTGGCCTGTCCAAGGTTACACAGCTAATAAATGAGGAAGCAATGGTTTGAACTTAAGTTCCATTTCATTCCAAAGCTCTTTTCTTGCACTCTGCTCCATCAATGATAAGGAGGCTGTCTCTGGCAGGACATGAAGAAGGGGCAGTCTTTACTGTTCTCTTTCACACTGGGTATGTCCCCAAACACTCCTGTCTTCCTTTAGTACTTATCTCACTTGGAATGGCCATCCATTCATTTATCTCTGCCTACACTATTTATAAGGGAAGAGACGCCAAAGGCTGCCAGTGGCCCCAGATACAGGCACAGCAGAGACGTCAGCTAAGATCCTGAGACAGACACCTAGGGCCTCAAAGTAAATGGGGACACAGGAAAATCTGTGACTGAGTAATGACAGCTACTAAAGAGAGCAAGGGTCAGGGCACTAGAGATGAGATGAGGGTGGGGTTGGGAGAATGGACCATGAATGACTGAAAACGGCCTTTATTTCTCTCTCCTTTCCTCTCTCCCACACTTTCATTTCACAGAGTTCCATGTAGTCCATATTAGCCTAGCAAATACCATGCAGCTGAGAATGACCTTGAACTTCTGATTCTCCTATCCTACCTCCTGAATTCTGGCATTACAGGTACATGCCACCATGTCCAGTTTAGGCAGTAATAGAGGTCACACCAGGGCTTCCAGGATGCTGGCAAGAACTTTACCAACTGAACTACGTCCCCAGTCAAGAGCAGCTTTTAAAGAGATGGGCTTGGGTCAAGAGGGCCTTGCTTCCTTTTGAGGAAGTGTCTATACCTCTCTAAGCCTCAGTTTCCCCATCTGCAAACAGGTATGAGTACCTGCTTCACAGGCCTATGGCAAAGTGAGACTGTCCTTGACAGGTCTTCCGACCTTGAACTCTTAGATGCAGCTACAGAAGAAAACCATCACTGGTGGAGGCAGGAAGAACTCGTATGAGATTCATGTCACTTCAACAATGGAACACAAGTGTTCCCTTGGGAAAGTAACCAGGCAAGAGGACTCCAACCCAAACATCTTGTTCTTTGTAAGCCCTGGCTCCCTCTTCCCCATTTACTATTTGTTAGCAGCCTTGGATCAGCTTCCCTTCAGCAAGACCCTGTGCATGCCAGCCCTTCCACTGAGATTTTTCAGGCATATGGACTGCTTGGCGTTATCAACAGTGAGAGTAGTGGCAACAAAAACTGTCATAAGATTTATCATTTGCTGACCACTTGCTGTCTACCAGGCCCTGTTTTTGGTGATATATATCACCAATTTCATTCTCATCACAGCTCAGTTGCAAATGAGGGAGGAAGGGCACTGAGGGTTCTGTAACCTGCTTGCAGCCCCCACACTGGTCAGCAGCAGGCTGGACTGCCTGCCCAGTAAGTGCTAACAGAACCACTCAGGGGTGATTTAGCAGATGACACTGTGTGGGCTCAAGAAGAGACAGACTGACCTCAGATCCCCTAAAGGTTCTGTTCCCCAGACCCTCCCATCTCTAACCAAATTATGAAGAGAAGACCCTGAGGGATTCCTAGGGGAGGATCTAAAAAGCCAAGAGGTTGCTGGGTCCCTCCCCAGTCACATACACTGTGTCATTCGTCGGTCATCACTGCTTTGAATTCGGTGGCCGTTGTGGAACCAGCTGATGGCAGGATAGGGCAGGCCGGTCACTTGGCACTCCAGCATGGCCTCTTTAGATAATCCCACTTCCAGATCCTGCAGCGGCCGCAGGAAGTCGGGAATCGACAGCCTCTCCAGATCTCCGTGCTCTGGCTCCTCAGGGATGGACGGCATCTTCTCCAGTTTCGAGCTGTAAGAACCACATGTCTGCCCAGATGTGCACTGCTACGCCCTCCTGGCTCAGGGTAAGGGTCCCTCAGAGGCACTGCAGGCAGCACCTGGAGTCCTAGGTGGTACCTGGGGCCAGAGGCGGCTGTCCGAGGCTCCTCCACATACAGCTGGGCAGAGCAGTGGGCCTGGCCGTGAGTGTTGGTGGCACTGACTTCATAAAGTCCCTCATCTTCACTTCCCACCCGGGCAATGTGCAGCGAGTGTAGACCCCCATCCTGTCGCAGCCGCAAGTTCTCACTCTCATTCACAGGGTGGCCTGGGGGCAGGAGGGCAAAGACACAAATCTACGATAGCAGAAAGACCTGTCCTTTAGGCACACCCTATCCTAGCCTTTGATGTTTTCTCAGCTTAGTCAGCGTGGGGAACCATACCAAAGTGAGTCCAGGTAACAGAGGGAGGAGGGGTACCGCTGATCTTGCAATCCAGGCGGGCAGCACGGCCTTCTAGCACCTCTACATCTTCCAGCAACCGGGTGAAAAGAGGCGCCAGTGATGGCCGGACCGTCAGCCGGGCACTGCAGGTCAGTTCATCTGTGGGGAAGTGGGCGGCACTGGGTCAAAGGTGGCTGTGGAGGCCAAGACACCTCATCTCACAGGTCTATTCCAGCCTTAAGAGCCTGAGCTGAGCCCTACAAAGGCTCTGAGCATGAGGCAGTGGGCAAAGCTTCAAAGACCAGGCCTTGTTAGGAGGCAAAAGGTCAACAATGATGGGCAGCAGCCTCCCAAGGTGGGCTGGGGACACTAGAGGAGCACAGGACCTGACTAAGCTTACCTTCCTCTGTCCAGTCGAGATGAAACCTAGCTTGATTCTGAGAAGGTTCTTGAAGAGAAGCCCCTGACCAGACTCTGTTCCACCTGACCTAGAGCAGATGCCTCTTGGTCCCACTCTATACCCCCTGCCCCAGAGGCAGGCACCCTCATCTCTGTTCTTCACAGAGAACAGGACCAGGACAGAGATGCCATCAATAGTGAAAACAGCTGACATCCATGAGTGGCCACCCTTCCACTGGTACTGGGCTTTGTTCTCTGCAGGGGTTATCTCCTTAATCCTGCCAATCCCCCTGCCTGGTAGGTATTAGCACCATTTCCCTTTCACAGATGGATAGAATAAAGCTCACACAGAGGAAGAGACTTGTCCAAAGACATGTGGTTGGCAACATGGATGGCAAGGATAGAGACACCCAAGTCAGGTTGTTTGCTCCACCTCAATGGACTAGCTCTACCTGGGAATAACAGCATTTTCTGTCTCAGATATGGCTCTAAGTCAGTGGTTCTCAACTTGTGGGTCACCGTGACCCCCATCATCGAATGACCCTGTCATAGGAGTCACATATCAGACATCCTGCATACCAGATATTTATGTTACGATTCATGACAGTAGCAAAATTACAGTTATGAAGTAGCAATGAAAATAATTCTATGGTTGGGAGGGTCACAACAAGAGGAACTGCATTAAAGAGTTGCAGCATGAGGAGAATCACTGATCTAAGTGCTCATTTTCTGGGGGCCAGAGGCCCATACTATCTCCTGCCCGCAGTGGATAGAATTCTACTTCCTGGGCATCTGCTCTGCACCCTGTCTTTCGGTCCCCTCCCCAGCTTTAAAGGGACACCACAGCAGTCCTAGCACCTGAGTGAGTAGGTACCTTTGACTGTACTCAGCTTGCACGTGTAGACACCACTGTCGTCCTCATGCACAGAGGTGAGCAGCAGCTTGCATTTGCGGCCATCAAAATGCATCTTGCATTTGAGTAGCGCAGGCTGCAGCAGGCGGCCACGGCACAGCCAGTCCACCTCCACGTCAGCTGGAACTGCCACCAGGCACTCAAACAGCACCATCTCCCCGGCCCCCACGTCCACGTCCTGCAGGGGTGCCAGCACGGCCAGGGACCGGCTTTCAGGGTGTGCTGAGGGGAAGGCAGCCACAGGGGGCACGGACAGAGCAGACACACACACACGCACACACAGAGAGACAGACAGATACAGAGAGAGAGATGCATTTGGTTCCTCTGGAGCCTGGGAAAACCCATCCGCCCCAGCAAGACAGCAAGGAGTCCCTAGACCTGGCTGTGAGATGAGAACCTGTGTTGGCTCCTGGGAGGGAGAAGTGATGAGGGGTGAAAGGGAATTTGGGGGGAGGGGGTCCGAAAGGATGGCGGCAGCAGCAATGGCGGCGGCGGAGGTAAAGAAAACACAGCACACTAGCTGGGTACAAACTGGACTTTATTTGAGCTATGAAATAGTATTTGCAAGCCTCCACCCCCACTACGATCCTGCTCCTGTCTCAGCCTGGCTATCTGTCTCATTCCCAGACAGAGCTGTGAAGGAGGGAACCCCACTGGATCCTAAGCTGGCCAGTAGCCAGGGCTTAGCCCTAGACCTCTGGCTTTTGGTCTCTTGTGGAATAGAAAGTGTTGTGCCATTTAAAACCCGTTTCTGAAATGGTCAGTGCCCCGCCCCTTCCCAGTGAGCCTCCTATCCACTGTACCTGCCCCTCTGGGCCCCTCCATCCTGTAAATGCCATGTTCTGTCATCTAATTCTGTCTTGTTCCACCTCAGCTCAGAGGCATTCTTGCCTGACTGTCACAGACACACAGACAGACAAACAGATAGACGGACGGTGGCCTGTAGCAACATAGCACATGCACTCGACTGATGCTCCCTACAGGGAGACTGGGGGAGCTTGGCACCCCTCATGGTTATCCCTTCCCAGCACTCAGTCCTTCCGGGGGCCTCCTGGCCTGCACAGCCACATATCCACTTAGGGAGGGAGGATCCACAGGGGCCCATGGACTACCCCCAGGGTGCTTCATGGGCTAGGGAGGGGGAGGCAGGGATAAGTCCGGGCCGGAGAGCCGGCTGGGTCTGTGGGCAGGAGGCAGTGAAACACAGCGAGGTCCGAGAGGTGCCTGAGACAGGGGCGCGGCTCGGAGGGTAGCGGGGGCAGCGCAGGTGGCCCCCTGAGCTCACTCGCCTGTGTACAGACAAAAACCTCAGTCAGCAAGCGGCAGGTTAGTGCGGCACACACACACACTCGAGAGCACGCACGCACGCGCGCGCGCGCACACACACACACACACACACACACACACACACACACGTGCACACAGGTGCACAGACCTAGCTAGGGCCCCTCTGGATATGGAGCTGCCTCTAAAACTGCTACTTTCAGTTCCCTGTAGATAGATCAGCACTGGGGTGAAAGGGCCAGTGGTTAACCTAGTCCCTGGGTTCCTCGACAGAGACCCTGAGCCACAGGGGAGAGGTGTTCATAGCCATTAGGAGCACACCCAAAACTGTTGGAATGCTGGAAGGACCCCAAAGAGAAAGAAGCACCAAGACACAGGTTAACACAGAAAAGCGAGGCAGAGCCCAACCCCGGAGAAGGAAGAGAGTAGGGTATGGGACTGAAGAATTCAGAGCTCAGAGAGGCGGCAACCACAGCAACAAGAACCGGGGGAGAGAGAGAGAGAGAGGCATGCGAGGCCTGGCAGAGGAGCTAGGGCTGAAGGTCTGAGCTCCAGTAGGGCGTTAGGAGTGAGTGTCTTGGGAAGCCCTTAGAGCTGGTCTTTGCCAGCTTGAAGGAACTGTGCCCAGTGAGGGGCAGGGAAGGACCATGGTCAAGTAAGGGGCTGAGGCAATGTTCCTAATCCAGTGACATCACATGGAGGATGGTCAAGCGGATGGCCAGCCTCTGGAGGGTGACCCGGCAGCCTCCGATGGGCAGCCTGGATAGACCCTATTATGCCGGCTGCCTCAGAGCCCTGCCTTGTGCCCCCCAACTGTGTGGGACTAGCCCTCTCCATCCTCCAGGGCTCTGTAACCCTGGCACCCTTTTTGTCCTTCCATCATGACGATGATACCTAAGGTTCTCTTCGAACGGGTCCAGCCACCAGCCACTCCCCACCGCTACCCCAACCACAACAATTTCTGTGTAACAATCAAATGTGTATGAATAGCAAGCGGGGAACAAGAGGAATGAATGCAAGGGCGTCAGTGAAGAATGGGCCTGCACAGAGCCCGCAACAGAAGCTTGGAAGTGTGTTGGAGGATGTCTGCCTACAAGATGCAGGGCTTCTAGGTTCCACCAGGAATTGTCATGATGGAGCGAGCACAGGGAAGGCAAACTGGGTAGCCAGTTGACTATGGAATTATTTACTGTGTGATCTTGGGCAAGTCACTTTCTTTCTCTGGGCTTCAATGAAGCCAACTACAATATAAGCAACTGGAGGAGGAGGGGACCTCCATGGCCCTTTCAGTGTGACATCCTACAACTGAGTTGGATGTGAGCTGTCAGGAGGGTGAGGACCGGGATAGGCAGGGATTTCCTGAGTATACGGGCCTCTCACCTCGGACCTCCAGGCGGGCCTCACACTGCCGAGCGCCATACTCATTGACCGCCTTGCAAGTGTAGAAGCCAGCATCACCACGTTCAGCAGCCAGGATTCGCAACCGGCAGAGCCCACCCTCGGCCTCCTCTGCGAAGCGCCTCTGGTCTGGGCGCACGGGCTGACGATTTCTCAGCCTGTCAATGAGACAAAAGTTCAGCCCCAGAACCTGAAGTCCTTACCTCCATTCTTAGCAACGGGAGGAGGGAGGTTTTAGAGCCTCCACACTGGCTATAGGCCTCTCCTTACTGATTTCTGAATCTATATGGCTGATCAATGCAACCTTGGGACCCTAAGGTAGGTTTACTCCAACTCCACCTTCCTACCTTCTCCAAGTACTTTTAGGCCCACTTGGATCTCTCCCACCTTAGAACCTGCATCACCTCTAACTAGCTCTTAAATGTCCTCGTATCTTATTTCCACTTATTTGTAACAGAAACAGATTCCTACTCCCCAAAAGGGATACTAAAGAACTTATAATCTTAAAAAATAATAACAAAACTAATTACACCGGAGACCACATAATCACTTAAAAATGAAAAACAGAACCCACACCAGTGTGTGTGGGGGGGATGACATGCTGAGTAGTGTCTGGGCACCTGGAATGCACAAGGCATGGCAGCTGAGAACTACATTTAACTCAGACTTGGGCAGCTCAGAAACAAATTGTGAGGACTGGGTCTACCACAGACATGGCTTCAAAAATCGCCCTGCATCAGCTGTTGGCATACAGACGAACAGCCTTCCAAATGGCCAGAGGAGTCCTGGCCATTCATTCCAAGTGGATGGACATGAAGCCACTCATTGCTCCAGCACCTCCCTGGGCAGGCATGGGGAGTGGTAAGGCTGTATCTGAGATGGGAATCCCAAGGGAAGCACTCTAGAGCTGTGCTCTCTTCTACCAAAGCCAGCGCTTAGGCTTAGCCTGGGGGGGGGCGGGTGTCATTAGTGGGTGGTATATGTGTTTTGCTACTTACCAGGAGACCACAGGCTTGGGCTCCCCCTGCACTCGGATGCTCATAATGACATCTTGGCCTTCTCTTACCGATTGGTCCATGAGTGAGACCTGAAGGAGAATTCCAAAGCATCAGGGGTGACAGCATAGCACTAGCTGCTGAGGGCTGGGGGACCTGGGATAGAGGTCTCTTCTACACCAGTCTGGGTAACAAGGGTTAATAGGGCAAGGTTCCATTGGTGCAACGCTTAAGAGTGGCCTCGAGAATAAGGGGTGCACAACAGAATGGTGTCCACAGAAGGCTGGATATCAGCTCCAGGGGTCTGACCTTGAAGGTTGGGGGTGCCTTGGAGGAAGAGTCGGAGGAATCTCGATCCTGGCTGGGACTGAGCTTCATGGTAGGGGTTCGGGGCCAGGTCTCGCCAGGCTCTGGGAACTCCTCTGGGGGGCTCAGGTACTCCTCATCAGAGGTGATAGGGCTACTGAAAGGGGATGTGGACCCACCTGGAGGAAAGACAGGTGATGTCATAGAGAAAGGATGGAGAGAGCTGGCTGTGAGCATTAGAGAGAGAGATGAGGCAGCTCCTGCAGGCCCAGCCCTGACCTCCCCTCCTGGCGAAGCTCACTTGCTGTGTGACCATGCCCAGATACTTCCTCTCCCTCAGTCTGATTCCTCCTCTGTCAAGCCCTGACAACTCTGATGATATTCTACAGAGAACGGCCTAGAGCAAAAGATTTGGCTGGTAGAAGGGCCACTACTCAGCCTTGGGGGCGATCCTGAGTTCTACTGAAACAGTTAATATATTAGTTACTAGCATGAAGTGGGCCTCCAAATACCAGTCACAAGCTCCAAAGGGGGTGGTAGGACCCCACGACAGCAGGACCAACACACTGCTTTCTTAGGTGAGCTGGGCCAGGCACAGAAAGAGCACACACCTCAGACAAGCCCCATCCTGACCTCTGTCCAGGGCCAATGAGGTGGCAGTGTCCAGACAGCCCTTCCCCCCCTCCCTTCTCAGCTTCCCCAGGGGCACCTGCTGGCCCCGTCCCTACAGCACGATCCCCAGATTCTCAGGGGAGAGGAAAGTAGAGTTAGAGTCATCCATAGAAAACAGTGATTCAGCCTAGGAAAAGAGGAGGGGGACACCTGCGTCTGCCTTGGGGGAGGGGTGTCCCCAGGGCCCTGAAGCTCTCCCCTCCAACTGGCTAGGGGCCCAGCCTCGCTGAGTTGGCGCTTATCCGACTGCCAAATACAGGCATGAATCGGCCACAGCCCCCTGGCCCCTCCTCCTGTTTCCCCAACCCCAAGCCCCCTGTAGTACTGCACCCCAACTCACCCTGAGGCCTTGCACACGGACCCCCGGCCTGTACCTTCCTTAAGCCTCTGCCCTGGCACCAGGCCTCCCCTGCTCCCTGCCCACTGCCCACTGGCTTTAGCTCCCCAGGGAGCAGGCGTTCAGCCTGCCCAGCCCCACTCACTCGATGACCCAGCGGAGGCCCCCGCACTGAGCCGGCCCTGGGGGAGGGGAAGTGAGCCTAGGAGAGGGAAGGAGGAGGGAGTGGCTGGGCAGCAGGCAGGCGCTAGCTGGGAAGGTGGTGTCTGCTGAGACCACAGGGAGCAGCAGCCCCTGGAGCCGCGGGATAGGAACAGGGGGAGGGGCGGAGCCCAGCCCAGCTGAATTTAGCCACTGCTCATTCCAAGCAGCCAGCGTCTGCCTTTCTTCTCATTACAGCTTGGGGCACTGACAAGAGCTGAGCGCCTCAGTAGGGCCTGGACTGCAGGTGTGGGGACCTCAGTCCTCAGAGCGAATGGGGTAAGGTGACCCTGCACTGTGGTGTTTAATATCCTTGCCTGGGTCATAAGTGTTGAGTGACCACCATAAGAGGTGCCCAAAGCAAATGACACTATTCTACCCCTCGCTTTGCCCAAACCAACAAGACTCAACATGGGAATGCATGACTAGCCAGCTTTAAACCCTAGAACAGGCCGCAACCAGCTTTCTCAGACACGGAGAACCAAAGAACTGCCAGGGATTTGGCCCTCCTTCCCAGATTTGTCCCCTATCAACCTAAGGAAACTTAGCACATGGCTGCTGCCTCCCAGGTCCTGCACTAGGCAAGTCTGGGAAAACAGGTACCTCAGGACACAGGCCTGTGTCCAACTCAAACATGGGCTCTACTGGATTCCTGCTGGCAACTTGCCTTTCACCCATCAACCCACCAAGGCCCATAACTAGGAAAGTGTGAGCTACTCCGCACCAATGGTCAGTCAGTCCTCACCAGCATCCATTTGCGCCCAGAGAATGGGAAAGGAGCTTGGAAGAGCAAGAGACAGAGGTGTTAAGCTGTGGCCACAAGTTCTTCTCCCGCCCCTATCCCCTCACCCCACCCAGGGCCAGCCACATTCCCAAGCTATGACCTGTGTTCCCCAGCACTGCCAGTGAGGAAGAGGGGTGAGGGCCAAGAGGAGGGCCCACTTTCAGGTTGGCTGTCTCAAGGTTGGAGAGGAGAGAGCAATCAGAATGGCACTTGCAGCTGGAGGCGTGGCCCCCCAGCTGACATTGAGATCATAGGCACAACCCTCAGAGAAGGGGGCTCTCTCCCTCCATGGAGCTTAGATTCCTGTCTCCAGGGTCACCTCCAGGCTGGACAGTGCTGAGGCAGCTCCAAGGCTGAGGAAAGGAGGGCGGGGCAAAGATTTGTCTGATTGGCAAAGGTCTGTGAGTGCCTCAGAGACCCCTGGTGACCATTAGGGGAATAGCACCTAGGTGCTACACAGCCAATCAGCAAGTCTAAATCAAGTCTCTGGGCCAGATGGCTGGACAGGCTGGAGGCTTGGGCTCCAGGGAGGTAGAATGAGTGCTCTCTGCGAAAAGGAAGAGGCCTCTGCTACACCATAAGCCCAAACTGTGTCACCAAGGAAGTTGACGGAAGATCCTAAGCTCCACTGCCCTCATGGGCAAAATCACCTTTGCAACCAGTCCCTAACATTCAATCTACAAACTCAGGTTTCAGTGTTGGAGATACACTTATACCAGCAAGGAAACATGGAGCTAGTTCCCAGAATCTTCCCATTAAAGGATCGAACCTTCGCATCTGAGCCAGTTCTGACTGGCTGACTCTAGTCACATAGCTGCCTTTTCAGCAGTGCTTTCAGGTCGGTGCCATTCAATAAAACCTGGTATTAGAAAGCCCACGAAACAGGAGCTCCTCGGGCCACTGCATCCATCTGATTCCAACTGTCTGTAGTGTCTTCCCTGCAGACATAGCTCCTGCTGCCACCAGTATCTGGCACATGAATGGCATCACCCAGGCCCTTTCCATTAGGACTGTCAGAGTGATGCTTGAACCACCCACATCAGCACCACTTGGGGCTTATTTTGAAGTACAGATTCTTAAGCCTTATCCAGCCTACGGAATTGATTTTCTGAAGTGAGAAGTCAAAAAACTGTATTTCTTTTTCAAAAGCACTCTAGGGATTCCTAGGCACATGAAAGTTTCAAGACCCAGGCAAATCCTCACGGGAGGATGGGAACCCAAAGAGGTGGCTTCACTGAGCACTTGGCCATTCAACTTTAGAGGACAACTGTAACCCCAGAAGTCTGGTTCCACAGCCCTTGCGTTTCCAGTTGCACCAGTCAGCTCCCCATTATGAGCAAGGTCTTTAACTCCATGCCAGTGATTTTAAATATTTTGGTTTTTTCACTTTGTTAGTCTTCCTTCCTTCCTTCCTTCCTTCCTTCCTTCCTTCCTTCCTTCCTTCTGCTTTGTTTTAGTTTTTTATTTTGTTTTTCAAGACAGGGTTTCTCTGTGTAGCCCTGGCTGTCCTGGAACTCACTCTGTAGACAAAGCTGGAGTAGAACACAGAGATCCACCTGCCTCTGCCTCCCAAGTGCTGGGACTAAAGGCACACACCACCACCACTGCCCAGTTCAGTTGGCTGTTTTTCAAAGTTTGCTGTACTTTGGAATCACCTGGTGAGTTCCTTAGGCTACAGCCTCCTGGGACCCTCCCCCATGGTTTCTGATTCATGGTCTGGACTGGGGCCCACAGTCTGTTTGGGTCATTTGTTTTGCAGTACTGGGGATTGAATTTAGGGCTTTGTGCATGCAATGCAGCTTCTTTTTACTTCTTTGAGACGAGGTCTCATTATGTTGCCTAAGGTGACCTTGAACTCACTTTGTATATGTAGCAGGTTATGACCTCAGCCTCCCCAGCAGCTAGGATTACAGCTTGGGTTGACAGGTAGGCAACTATCTGTACATCTAGCACATTCCCAAGGGATGCTGATGCTTTCGAAGACTCGGTGGACCATAACTCTGGTCTCTGTTGCCATCCCAGCCTCCCACCTCAGATGGAGCCTTATTACTCTGTGTGTCCTCCCTGCCCCCATAGGTGCTTTCCAGGGCTTGAACTTCCAGGACGATTCTTCTTACTTTTTTTTTTTTTTTTTTTTGAGACAGGGTTTCTCTGTCTTAGCTGTCTTGGAACTGGATTTGTAGACCAGGCTGACCTCAAATGCACAGAGATCAGCCTGCCTCTGCCTCCCAAGCACTGGGTTTAAAGGCTTGGGTGACAGAGGTGACAATGCTTCTCTCGTTCCTTCTACCTCATCCCCAAGCCTTGTGATCCACATAGTCCCTAATCTGTCTAGCAGGGCCTCCAGATATGGCTGCAAGGACCAAGATGTAGAAAGACACAGTTGTGTAGTCAGGGGCTTTGGCTTGGTAAGGAAGACTAGCCAGATACATTTGAGTCGATCAGTACGCAGGGGTGGAGACAAAGTGGCAAAGGAGGAGCCAATAAAGGCCCCAGAGATGAGGCTGAAGAGATGGCTCAGAGGTTAAGAGCACCAACTGCTCTTCCAAAGGTTCTGAGTTCAATTCCCAGCAACCACAATCACAACCATCCATTATGAGCTCTGGTGCCCTCTTCTGGTGTGCAGGTATACATGGAAGCAGAATGTTGTATACATAATAAATATATAAAATCTTAAAACAAAGGCCCCAGAGATGACTCTTGCTGGGAATGAGGGAAGAAGTGGTATTTAAATTAGAGTTTGCTTTAGAGAAATTAATTTAAAAAAAACTAAAACTAAAAACTACATGAGTTAGGAAGTGTAGGCTCAGAGGCCTGCCAGTTACCTGGGAACAGATGTGGGAGGCCAAATAAGAAAGGGGGCGGTGGCTGAAGAGATAGCTTAAGAGCACTGGCTTCTCTCCCAGAGAACCCGGGTTCAGGGTTCAATTCCCAGCAACCCACATAGCAGCTCACAACTGTATGTAATTCTAGTTCCAGAGGACCAGAAACACATGGCAAAGCACCAATACACATAAAATAAAAATAAATAAATAATAAGAAAGGGGACACAGAACTGGGTGTGGTGGCGTATCACTTTAATCCCAGCACTTGGGAGGCAGAGACAGGCAGATCTCTGTGTGTTGGAGGCCGGCCTGGTCTACAAAGTGAATTCCAGGACAGCCAGGGCTGTTACACAGAGACTGGTGAACAATTCTTTAGTCACATTTTTCTTTGGCTTGGAAAGGGAGCCAAAACTGGTGAATAAAGTGATAGATAAAAATGGAAAAAGATAAATGGAAAAGAAGGGGCGATAGTGTAACAGCAGGAACCCCCGGCTACCTTCCCCCACCATGAGGGACCTGTGCCCTGTTTGTCTAGAAGGTAGAGACCCAGTGTAGGGTCAAAAGGAGCCCCATATGGTTTGTGGGGAAGGAAGTATGGGCTGGGTACTAACCAGCACTTCCATGTGGTCAGGCCTTCACCTTTGCCCCCGTATGTACTGCCTGTGGAGGTTCTGTACAGGTACTTTTTGAAGTGGCTGCCACAGTGATCACCAGTGAAGAAGTTAGGGAAATAAGGGCTGGGCTTGGAGACAGGACTTGTGTCAGTGTGTTGGCATGACCATTTCCCCAGAACTCCCTGGGGCGAGAGAAACACTGCTGGGAATATTTCAGGTTCAGTTTTAAATGTATGAAACGTATGAAACACTGGTGAGAATTTCACATGATTAGCCTGACCCAGCCCGGCGAGGATTGGATTTCTCACATATGATTATGGTGGATTGCTCCGGGTCAGCTAAGCTGTTTGCATCCACACTAAATTAGGTCTCCATTCTTGTGACAGGTGGTGCGTGATAGATAAACTCCATTCTAAATAATACCCTCGGGGAGTCAGTCCACAGGTACCCCTGATGCTGACAGGCAGGAACAGGGAGGGAGGGCTGAGTCTGGCTGAGAAGACTCTGGTACTCTGCTCTCTCAAACGTTGTCCAGATCCCTACTTCACACAGCTTAGTTAAATGTGACTGTGTAATTAACAGTGAGTCAAGTACATAGGAAGCACTCAGTAAATACCAAATAGTGGCTGTTTTTATCAAACACACATGCGAATTTGTTACTTGAATAAGTAATTTCCATCACTGTATCACTTATTGTTAATAACATTCCCAGGCAGATTCCCAGGCTGCTGGCCTGGTTCAGGTTCTATGTAATCATATTCAGTATTTTTCATCTGTAAGATCAGAGTCACACACACACACATCTCCATCTATACACACCCATGCATGCATACAGCCTGAGAAAAGAGACACGAAGAGATTTGTAAAAAGCACATGACACTCTGCAAACAGAAGCAACTGTTTGGAGACAGGGCACCCAACATCAGTGAGTCCTCAACAGAGGCTTGTCTGACAGATGTGACAGCTATCCGACGCTTCACTTCACACTCCAGAGACCCCCTCCATCTACAATCAACTTGAGAGGGTGAGAGGGACTGGGGGCTCAGACAAGATAACCTTCACAGTAGCCCCTGATCCCCAGGCCAATGGCTGTATTCTCAAGTTGCCTGGATTAATGCAGTTCCCAAACAAGAACTGACATCTGTGGGTTTTAAAAGCAGGTCCTGATGGGATGGGTACCCCTGGAGTGCACTGGGAATCCAGCCTGGTTTCCATGGCACTGAGTGTAAGGGTGGGGAGGTAGGTCTCTCTTTCCACAAGACAGTGCTATTTCCCCCTACATACTCCCAATACCCAACAGCCAGACACCCTCCCAGCCCTTCCCAGTCAGTACCTACAGATACCTGGTCTGAGACCCCTTCTATTGCCAAACACCTTTGCCACCATTGGTTCTGCCTGCTCCAGCTACTCTCTCTGGGCCCCCTGGCCACCATCCAACCACTTTAGACCAAACAGTGCCTTGTAGGGTAAGAAAGTTAGCTTGGTCCATAACCAGTGCTGAATCTGGACCCACATGCCAGCCTCTTGGGCCCGGGAGCCAGTCTAATTTATGGGGGGGGGCTGCTGCATTGTTTGGTGTACCCTAATGACATAATGAAAATTTTCTGGTCCCCAGGATGAAGCAGGCACAGAGATGTCATGACAAGCTGAGGATCCAGGGGCTGGAGAAAGGGAGGATCTAGAAGACAGTGGCTTTGGAAGAGGAGGAGTCGAGTCCCCAAGACACAGACAGCATGAAGAAAAGGGCAAAGAAGGACAAGGCACTTTCCAGATCCTCGTGGAAAGCTGAGCTCATGTGCACAACATCACCCTCAAACGCTAACAACTAACATTTGTCTACAGCTTTACAGTTCATAAAGCTCATTCGCACATTCGCTTCCATCCGTGAGGACAGTATAATTATCTCTGCTTTACAAATGAGGGAACTGAAGCTCAGGAGATTCAACGTGGCAAACACAGAATTTCCAGGCAAGTGCTGACAGCTGCCGTGCCCCAAGCTGCTTTCCCAGCCTTAAAAGGCTCCCGGATGGCCACCAGCCAGTACTGGGGCACCTCACACCCCACCCCTTGCCAGCTCTCAGTCTAAGCCAGGTATTGACTGGAGTTCTGGAGCTAGGCCTGGGGCCCTAGGAGAGCTAGGAGCTGAGTCAGAAGCCAGATCCCAGAGGTGATGGAAGGCTGGAAGCACGAAGTGGAGGGGTGGGCATGATTCAGCATGGTAGGAGGGTGAGGAGAGAGGAGAGAGTACAAACAGCTCCAGGGAGGATGTGGAATGAAGGACCACGAGACGGGCATGCCACCAAAGGAACTAACGCGGCCCAAATGCCAATACCAGAGCCCACTAAGAACTCCTGAATTGGGAATGCATTGAGGGCTAAAGCTCTAGAACAGTGCATACATGGTTCTTCTGCTTGTCTCTGAAACACTGAATAGAAGAAAGGCACAAGACACAGTGTGCTGACTCCTGGCCTACTCCAGGACCCTGAAGTCTCAATGCAAGCATCCCAGAACACTGGCCTCTGAGCTCTGACCTCCCAGCTAGTTTTGATACCCATTCCCATTGGTAACATCCACCTCTGTGGGTCTCACCAGTACCTTTTCCTGATAGAACACTCTCCCCACCCCCTCCCTACCACCCAGGATCAGCACACTGTTAGACACAACCACCTAAATGAGTAGAACTTCCATGCACATAGCTACTGGTCCAGCCCTACCTGAACCAGAAAAATACTGGGCTGAAACCCAAAGGAAGTAGCCTGACACCAAGTGAGGGCCTTCATAAAATTAAACAAGGCAGCCTCAGGATGACCATCTCTCAATGGTACTCTCAGTTGTGGTCTCTGTAGGGCCTGAGATCCAACAGGAATGGACACAGCTTGTGGGCCCTTCTTTCTTACTTTGTGTTTTCTTCTTGTCCTGGAAAGAAATGACCCCAGAAGCTCTTGGTGCCTCTTAAATCCTTTGAACTAGGACATCTCAGAGACTCAAAGACAACTGGCCTATCCATAGACCCCATTAAGAGAATCACCTTGAAAAGATAGCATTCAGGCCGGGCGTTGGTGACGCACGCCTTTAATCCCAGCACTCGGGAGGCAGAGGCAGGCGGATCTCTGTGAGTTCGAGACCAGCCTGGTCTACAAGAGCTAGTTCCAGGACAGCCTCCAAAGCCACAGAGAAACCCTGTCTCGAAAAACCAAAAAAAAAGAAAAAAAAAAGAAAGAAAGAAAAAAGAAAAAAAAAGAAAAGGAAAAGAAAAGAAAAGATAGCATTTAAAGGATGTTCACAGATGAATTTCACCAACTTAGTGGATTTTTCTGGATTAGGGTGTCCTTTTCCTGAGAGTAGGACCACTTAAATTGCTTCCACCAGAGAGTCAAACCCAGCATAAGGAAGGATCATGCACACTGGGAAGCCAAGTGCTTGGTCACAAGTGCGGAGACTCTGAACCCACATTCTCAACGTTCACCAGGAAGCAACCACAGTTCACCCCAACCAGAACCCAATCTGGAAGGCTCCCTACCAGGTCTCACGGCCAGTGAGGAAGCACAGCTAGCCTGGCCCAGTTCATTGGTGGCAGTGGCTGTGTAGCTCCCAGCATCAGCCGCCCTGGCCTCCCTGAGCAGCAGAGTGTGACGCTCGCCTTCGGCTCGGATGAGAAGACGGCCCTCACTGTGCAATGTTGACCCATCCTTTTTCCAGGACACTGTGGGGAAGGAGGAAGAACCAGCTCATCATGTTAACAAAGGGTTTGCTGGGGAATAGCGTCCCTACCCACCATCTATATATATTTTCAACTTTTAAAATGAGATATGGTCCATGTAGCCCGGGCTCGCTATGCAGCTGGGATTATAGGTGCTCATTATGCAGTGCTATGGGCTAGGCAAGCACTCTACCAACTAGGGTACCTTCAGTTCTCCTCCCTCTGGGGAATTCTGAGGAATCTGCCCTCACTCCAGAGGTCCAGGCTGCCTTACCCCTGAGCTGGGGAGGTAGGGGACAATCTTCCAGAATACACCAGAGTTGGGGCAGTCCCATGGACTGACAATTTTCCTCTTCCACACCCTGCCATAGGAGGATTCCAGGAAACCTATCCTGACCCCATGCCACACAGCAGCACAACCTGCAGGCCTCCAGCGCCCCCCATGGCTCACCTTGGGGAGGGGGGTTGGCGGTGATGATGCACTTAAACAGCACATCAGCTCCTGGCGCCACCACCATGTTCTGCAGGGGTATCTCAAACACTGGTGCCTCCAGGGGTTCTTCTCCGGCGGATACATAGGAGTCATCTGAGGACTCTACCAGACACAGGAGCAGAGGCAGAGAGGGTAAGGGGACATGAGCCATGTGGGGGCATAGGGGGACATTTGTGGGGAGAGGGGATGCTGGCAGTACAGAATCCTAGAAAGCCAAAATCCTGCACAAGGAGTTTCTGGAAGGCAGCATCTGAAGGAAGCAAAGGTCTCTCTCTTGAATGTCCTAGACAAAGGAAGGGGGAAGCCAGAGCAGAGGTTCTTAGTCAGGGCAACAGAGAGTCTATTCCACTCACAACGGGTACCGGCTTCTGGAGGAGAGTGGGATGACGGGCAGTGGGTGTCTTCACACGGACTGGCCATTATGTCTGTCTTAGCAGATCTTTTGAAGTCACTCTGGGCACCACAGACTATCTAAGCACCAGTGGACAGAGAACAAGCCCCCTAAGACCTAAGTAGCAATACTAGGTTCACAGGGAAATGGGGGTGGGTGGGTGAGAGGGATAGTCAAATGTGTAAGGCCACCAGATTCCAAAGTGGCAGAGGGGTCATAGAAGATCAGCATTGATTATGTCCCTTCAGCAAACAGTAACACTATACCTACCTAACTGCCCACTGAGCATTGAGTACCAGGAATACAACGGGAAATAAGATACGATGCCTGCTTATAGGATACTATACACATAGAGAGATAAAAATCACTCTGCTGTGGTTCTCTCTAGGCACCTTCTAAATGTATGCTGGAGGTTGAACTCAGAGCCTCTCAGGGCAAATGTTTTTCCACTGAGCCATACCTCCAACCCCTCCCCTGGTGTTTTCTACTAACATTTTATCAGCTAGATAAAGGACAGCATAGGCAGCTGAAAGGGCGGTGAGGATCCCAGGGTGACTGTCTTTCTAACTGTATCACCTTCAGCAAAAGAGATCATCTCTCTGAGGCTCTGCTATGTTACGGGGAAGCTGAAGGTATGACATTGTGCAGCTGGCACGGAGACTGAAATGAAGTGACATCTCTATGGGCCCTCTTGACACAGCATCTGGGACAGCATGGTGGGAACACAGTCATGGCGCTAAGTAGGATGAATGAGAGTCTACACATGTCTAAAGATTTGGAGGGGCTGATCTGGAAATGAAAAATAATTTTGATAGAGAAAATTACAAAGTGTTAAGTGCAATAAATAATACAGGTACTGGTAGGCCCTGGGACACTCTGGGGGAAAGTGAAGGGTGCTTTCCTCTGCTTCTCCGGGAACACGCCCTGAGTTGCTGTTAGAAACTTTCAGGGCTAGGGACAGTAGCATTCTATTGGTGTTGTTGCTCATCATCTATAGGAATCAATAAGGCAGGATGCAAGGATAAGACAGAGGAGGCTAGAAGATGAGTGTGCCTCAGACCTTTGTGGCCACAAAGGGTAAGGTGATGGAATGGGCATGGGGAGGAGGCAGTGGGACAGAGTAAAAGGTTAGGGAACTTCCAGTTTGGTTAATTTTTTTCCAGTAATTTTAGACTGTCTCGTCCCACAAACTGATGGGGGCTATGAGAACTCCTTAGGTTCCAGCCAGCGCCTCCTCCAGCCCCTCAGTCCCCCTGCCTAGAAGTTCGCTGGACCTTAAAGGATGTACAGCAGACGCCCGGGCTTCGCTCACATCTCTGTTCCACTGAGCACACTCACCTTCTTCCTCATCAATAGCAGATTCTAATACGGGACCTTTACTCCAACCCCTGTGTCAATGCTAGAAGCAGCAAACAAAACCTGTTTGCGCCAAACAGTCTTGCTGTTCCCCTAGCCCGCTCACCCATGCTGCTCTCAGCCCTCTCTGTGCTCTTACCGAGCTCAGGGGATGTAGGCCGAGCACGACGACCTTTGCCTTGACTGCGGGTCCCTCTGCGGTCCCAGGCCCCCCAGGGACCATCCTCCTCAGGTCCTCTGCGAAGCCTCTTCTCAGCCTCTGGCCCCGCTCTGTTCTTCTCCAAGGTTTGGGGCAGAGCAGAGCCCTCCACGCCCGGAGTGGCCCAGGGCAGAAAGCGCACTGCTTGTGCAGGGGGTTCCCGCTTCCGACCAGAAGGGGCTTTTGTCCTGCTTTCCGGGGGATCAGCGGTGGCGGACGGCACAGGGCTCCTGCACTCCTGGATGGCTCTGCTCCTGGTTAACGGGAACTGGTCCCGACGCTTAATCTCCTGCTGAGGGCCTTCCCCCAGTTCAGTCCTGCCCACCGGTCCTCGGCTCCGGGGCCTCCCAGGCTCGTCCCCAGATTTGCCCACCCCGCTGGGAGGAGGCTGCTGGGTGGCGGCCGGGCTCCTCCCCCGTGAAGTCTTGGGTGTGGAGGGCCGGGAGAAGAGTGGGGGTTCGCCGGGCTCTCGAGGAGATGGGGCACGCTGCAGCGTGGCACGCAGGGACTCGTGCGAACGCACCAGTTCCTCCCGCGACGCAGATCTGCGGATGCGGCCCAGCTCCTGGGCGAAGCGGAGCTCGAGGTCCGAGGCTGCGTTGCGCTGTCGCGTGCGCTCGTCCAGCGAGGCCGCCTTCTGCTGGAACAGGCGAAGCCGCTCTGCCACACTGCGCGGAGGTGACCGCAGCTCCTCCTGCGAGGCCCCTGGTGTGTCCCACGCCCCGCCGCCCTCGGACTTGGGCTGCTCCAGCGAGCGGGCCTTGCGCAGGGGCACCCAGGGCCGCAGGGGCGCTGGTGGTGT